AAATGGGAGTTCATAACAATGAGGCCTTGTTCATCTTTTAAAAAGTAAATGATGTGCTTGCTTGCTTTCTTCTCTTCTCCCTTGTGCACAGAATTTTTCTTCCATCTCACAAGCATAAGCAGAATACTTTAACTAGATGGAAGCATAGGAAGGCTGGGCTGACAGATTCTGGGTTTTCCTGTTTTCTAGGATAAAAGGCAAGGGCCACATTATTACCATTTATAAATACAAATGATAACATCATTAATATAATGGAGGGTTAGGCTGAACACAGTTCTTGACAGAATAAAACAGAATTAGCCTGCACGTTTTTTTATGGCTTACTCATTTTCTAACACACAGTGTTTGTGAGTGCCAATACTATCTTCAGTGTTATCCTTTTGGACTTAAAAAAAAAACACAAAGAAATGGGATATCTAATTACATGTGATTAATTCCTATTAATTTCAAATTCATCTCTATTAGAATAAAATTCACATAACAATATATAATTAAATGTAACTTATGACATACAATTAGAATTAATCTGTGCCATTAAGTTAAAATGTGAGATTGCTGGTGTCTTCTGCAATTTTTAAAAATTTTCCAAAACAAATGCTTTGCCAAATTTGTATGTCATATATAAAATATATAATGTATCCAACCACATATATATTTACATAAAACATCATACATAAAATGTACTTTTCGAAGTCTAAAATTGGCTAAGTGAAATTCACATCACTGCCACCTATTTTCTCTACATTAGCCTTGTGGGTGTTAACTGCATGGATTCTCTCCTTGTATTTGGAACTGGCTTCAGGATTTAATGAAAATGGATTACTATAATAATTATGCTTAGAATATTTAATTGCTATATGCATGTATATTATTATATTTATACTTTATGAATTTCAAAAATAGTAAAAGTAAACAATTTGGGGTCTTCTAATTTTATTTTCAGCTGCTTGAATGATCCAAAGTTTTTTAGAAATTCAGAAATTTCACTAGTGTGCTATTTTAACAACTTCAAAAAAATACAAGGAGATCTGTTATTAAAACACTTATCCTTACACACTGAGGTTTCTGGAGATCAAAAGGTGATATGCATATCTGCAAGGACAGAAATGCAGCTTTCTAGAAAAAGTAAAAGATCCCAGCAAGATACTGGGAAATTACATTTTTTATGTGATAAAATGTAAAGAATATCTCAATTTTCAAAAGTTTCAAGTGTATGAGAGCTAGATCATGTTCATATCTTGTTTTATTTCGGATTTTGGTACTAGCTACCAGATAGAAAATGCTGGAGGAGTTAACACAGGTTTAAAATATTTATCATAATTTTTTCATCAAAATAGGATTTCCACATATGTTTTCTTACGTACTCTGTATGGCCCCATTCTTCTTCTCTTTTACCTTATCCTGGAAATGACTTTTTTTCCTTCAAATAGAGCATTCTGAGAGAGAGAGAGTCAGCAACATCATAAATGCACAACCATTTTGTTTCAATTCAACTTTCTTTCAAGTGTGTGAGACTTTGGAGGCTCTCTTTATATACTTGATGGATTCATCCCAACATTTCAGATCCAGGATACTTTTATTTTGGATCCAGATTTTTTTTCCATAAAACTCCCTGATGGGAGAGAAGACCTGTTAACTCTTTTGTAAATTTAACAGAGTGATTGACTGCCTTCCATTTTTCCTCCGACACAAACACCAGAGAGATTATATTAGTAGTGTTTCTGCTTCTGGTTCACAGCTCAGATGACATATAATTCATAGGACGGCAGTATAGCTGAGAGTTTGAGATCATACTGATTTTAAAGATGTTCTGACTGTGTTTTTTATAAGTATGGTCAAACATACTTACCATACAAATCTGTGAGAAAATCTACATAAATCACTTCTATTCTTTGCTTTATTTTTATTTTCCTGAAATATCTATTTTATAACCTCGCAGTAGAGCTGCGATATTTCCTGAAGGGCTTAATTCTTCCACGATTACATCCTATGATCTCCACGTGGAATGGTTTCAAGACAGCAGGTTGTCATTTTGTTTTGGTTTAAATTGCTCCTCTCCCCTTCTCAAATGCTTGCTCATGTATTATTCTTATTGATAGAAGGTAAGCTATATTTATATGTAGATATCTCTGTATTGAAGTGTTCAAATTGTGCTAGTGTAACTAGAGGAGGAAAATATAGTTTTACTTAAGTGACTCAAAAGATCCTAAGGGGTAAGAGATAATGAAGATCACAAACAGTGGAAACACCTTGAGAGAAGCCTGGGATTGTCAGGCCAGTAGGATGGGTCCGCGAGGCACATTCTTACTGCTGTATGGGGAAGCATGCCCAGAATCTGCCCTCATTATGTGTAGTGCTTGCCAGTTCTTTTCAAACCTCAGTTTCATGAGCACCATAAAAATTCACTTAAAATCGAAAAGAACACCCTGAAGTTTAAAATCCACTCTGCTTTGCCTTGCCTTTCATGGCCTGGAATGTCACCTTTTACCTCCAGTAAATAAAGCCAACATCAACACTCTTCCGTGTCTTTTATTTTTTATGCACTCAATATTCTTCACATGACAATCTGGACACTTAAAGGGAAATTACGGTAGTGATCTATGTCCAGGCAAAGGGAATTGTCTTTATAATATATAGTTACTGTGTATCCATCATTTTCTTTTGTTTCTTGGACTGTTCACATTGGGTTGAGTAAATCTAAAATGGAATTTAAAGAGACATGATTAATAGTGGACTGCACAGAGATGGTGATATCATAATCCTTTCTTAAAAGGACCTGGCTTGTGTGTCTAAGCCGCGTTCCCCATCAGACAACGGCACCGGTTCACTGTCTGGCAGGGTATTGTCTCTTTCACCTCACTGTTTCTGAGAAGCCACCAAAAAGTTCTAATATGTCACAATTGAAATGTCAACATGTTGTTGGAAAGGAAACGAATAAGTTAAACCTGCGAGGGATGCCAAAAAAGAGGTGATTCAAGCTGTGAGAGGAGCCCATTGTTTTCTAAGGGGAAATAGAACTCAGGAGCGAGACGGGGCTCTCCTGCGTGTTTAACTGGAAGATTCAGGGGAAAAAGGCAAACTCATACATTCTTATTATTTTAAATCTGGTAACTTTTTAAGCAGAACTGTTTTCCTCATTGTCCTCCCAAAGAAGGGACAATGTGAAAAAATTTGTAAGATACAAACTGAAAATTTTCCTGTTAAAAAAAACAAACAGGAAAGGCTCCTAAGAAGAAGTCTTTTTTTTCTAAAATAGTCTGTCTATGGGCAGATACAACAAAGAATCTTAGATTTGTTATAATAGCAACACTAGGTTTGGCATCATTTTCTATCAGCCTCAGGTGGTTGAACTACCATAGAATGAAAAAATTTCATTTTGAAAGGACAGCAACTAAACAGAAAAAAAACCATTTCTCATTGAGTTAATTTTTAAATGTAGCACAATTTTGTGCTCTTTTTATAGCAAAATAAACAACTGGCCTTTAGAGCCACCTACTGGAATAAAGAGGCACGCACTTATGTTTAATATCTACTTTTTAAACAGACAAACAGATCGGTAAACACAATTAAAATCTGAGAATTTCAGTTGATCTTAAAAGACATTATTTTACTCAGCTTTTCTGGGTTTGAACTATCAAGCGGTCCTGCAAGAAACTCTAGTTAGCAGCACTATCATTTCTTAGAATATTCTTCCCTTTCCTTAAGGAGAGTGTACCAACGTGGTGTGTGATATTTCTCCACATTTTTCATTGTTGACTGCGGTGGTGGTGGTGGTGGCATGTGCCTGTGTGTCTTGCCCAGAAATTTGGACTATGGAGTTTTTTGGCTCAGAGGTTGAAACTCTGGTTAGGGACATCCTTAGTAAGGGGATTGGCTGAAAAGACTCCTGTGATGTGGGAAAGAAGACAGAAGGCAAAGGAATGACCTCCTCCCCAGAGTCCAGTCATGTTTTGCAAAGAAACTGTGGTGGATTGTAATTTGTCTAATTTTGATGGATTAGTTCTACATGTTCATTTTCTCCTCCAAAGCCTCTAACTGGCTATGGAATAGTTGTTTCATAAATAATCTTGGAATACAATGAAAAACTAAGAACAGTTCTACGGCATGACAAGTGGACATGCTGAAGGCTTTCCTGCTCAGAGGCTCACAAATGAAAAAGCCCTGACACCAGACACATCCATGGGGAGAAGAGTGGCCTGAGCCACCGCGCTGCACAGGGCAGGGTAGGCAGCGCTTGGAAATTTCATGTCAGGTTCTTTCCACCCTTGCCCCACTGTTTGTTAGTCAGTCATTAACACATTTATGAAATCCTTCTTTTTCTTAGCACTTTGCTTGAAAGCAAGAGGAGTAAGCACCACCTCAGCAGCCTAATAAATGAATCAACGCAAGGCCTACGGCCTGCTTTGCTTTCAGAGACTCAGAGTCAGGGGCCATACCCGAGGGCAGCACCTGGGTGTGGGAGCCCCTTCTGATTGGTGAGAAAGAGAGATTCCGTTTTTTTTTTTTTTTAAACTATTTGCCTTTGACTGTTCCACAGTTGCTCTCAGATCCCTACCTTCCCGTCATCTTATGGGAAAGCGCTGCTTTGGCGAACATGCTCAGAGGGAGTAGGCCCTGGGGTTGGCAAGGCACCTGCTGGGAAATCCGAGACAGGATCCGAGGCTGTATGCGTGGAGTTTGCTGGGGGTGCTGTGAGGAATTCCAAGAAGGGAGAGTTCTTGGTGCCACATCCTACAGAGTAATGGCACCTGGTGAGGCTCGCGTCGAGAAAGTATGATGGTGAAGTAGGATTTGCAGAAGACTTGTGAACTGGCTTGAGTCACAGCCTCCCTCTTGTCACCAGAGAAATCATTGTCAGTATATAAAGCAGGAAGTCACACTCCTTTTGCCAAAAAAAAAGTATGTTTGCTACAGTATGAGAAATATATCTCAGCGTGTAGGCTGCCCTTTGTTAATAATCACTTCTCGCTCTCCTTCTCGTCCACCCTTTGCCTCTGAAGATCTTCTACAGAGTCGTGGCAGAGATTTCGCCGGGACAGGAGCTGCTGCTGTTCATGAAGAGTGAAGACTATCCCCATGAGACCATGGCGCCGGACATCCACGGTCAGTGCCACACACCTCCGGCTGCCCTGACCTCCCCTGGAGAATGTGATGTTGCATTTGCAAGGGTCCATGGGCTTGGGTCTTGTTTGATGGTTTCTGTGGGTGTCCAATGTCAGTTTTAACAAATTCGTTCTCTTGGGCTGGCTATTTCCTTGGTTTGACATCTGGCTGATGCTATGGTGAATTCAAAGTAAGCAGAGGTCTTCCTTGAAGTAGAGGTCAAAGGAAATTTGAGCATTTAAAATAAAAGTTACTTGAGAGGCGGAGAGAGCAAAAGAGAGAGAGAGAGAGAGTTCTGCCATCCACGGATTCATTCCTCAAATACCCACAATAGCTGGGTCAATCTGAAGCAGGGAGCCTGGAACTCAATCCAGGTCTCCAGTGTGGGTGGCAGGAACTTAATTACTTGAGCCATCACCTCTTGCTTTGCAAGCCTGCATTAGCAGGAAGCTGGAGTCAGGAGCCAGATCCCAGGCACTCTGACATGGGATGCAGGATCCCAAATACTAGGTCAGATACCTGCCCTGGAAGTTTGAATATTCAACCGAAACAGCACTGTAGGCCCTGCTGAGAATCCTTGTGGTGATTACGAGTTACTACAGGAGCTCCATTTTGAGCTTTCCTCAATCTAGCAGGTATTGCATCCACCTTATGTTCTGTTATTGGGAAAAGTAACTGGAGTAAAATCCTTATCACCGTGGCCTTATGGAAAGAGGAGGGCACTGGGAGAAAAATATACATGAGGAATTTTTAGAGGTAGGGGAATTTTTAATTGCCAGAGGCCTGTTCTAAATCAACAGAATGGAGGATCAGGTATAATAATATTTGTTAGTCATGTATGTTCAAGTAACATTAAGAGAAAACTGTATTGATTTGCATCAAGGAGATGAAAATTCAATATGTTTTTCTTTCTGCCTTCTATTTCTTTCTCCTACTATAATGTGATTTGGTTCAACATAATCTAATGGTGTCTTCAGAGTGTTTGTAGTTGGAAGGACCACCGGGAGGTAGTGATCACGCCATCCTCCATCCTCCATCCCTGTAGCCCTGCCTCTTCTGGAGCTTTTGCCTCTGTACCTCCAGTGAAGGATGCTGCCATTATTAGCTTTTTCTTTACTTGAACACTGTATTTTTTTGGCCTGAAGTGCCTTCTGCCTCTTGGCAGGTCCTACTAGTTGAATTTTCAGGAGTCTTTTGGTATTTATTTTCTTCTGAGTAGCTCTGACATGTAAATGACTTTAGAGCCCTAGGATGTCTATTCTGGAAGGTAGAGTGAACCTAAGTGGGGCTTCTGGCTCCGTGGGATGGAGCTCTTTGGCAGTGGACAGTGCTTAGATGATGAAATAAATGCAGTCTCCTCTCTGGTGCAGTGCATCTTTCATCTGTAAAGGTTAGATTTTAAAAAGGTTTTCAGGCAATTAGTTTTTCAAATGTAGATGATTACTTTAGTACTTCCCAGAGTCCTGAATAGAAGTGATTATTCTTTTAGGACTGCCATTCATAAATTACATTCTTTCATAATACTCTTGAACCCATCAGTTGCTTTCTGTTGTCCGTGCATCATCCTTATCCTCACATATACTATATATGTTATATATAATGCTTATAGTGTTTAAATGGCAATTTGATTTTATATGGCTAGGATTCAACTTTTCTTCAGAAAGAGAAAATAAAACACATGCATTGCATACCTACTATATGCTACATATTAATATACGCTGTTCATATATCATCTCACGTAATCTTTGTACATAGATCAAGCCTGTGAAAAAGGAATTATATCCATTTTACAGGTAGATAAACCGAAGCAAACTGAAGCTAAATAAGTTCACCATCGTGAGGTTAGTAAGCAGTGGAGCCAGCATTTGCATGGAGGTCTTTGCTGTCTTTACCACCTTTTCCTTTCTCATGTATCATGTGGCCTGGGGTTCTGTTTATGTTCAGATTCCTGGCTGAGGACCTAAAAATAGATCTTAAATATATGAATAGAATTACAGGCAACAGGAAACATTTCTCTTAATTAGCTACATCATTGAGAATTCCTGTCTTTCCAGCTGAAGTGAGTTATTCTAGAATACTTTCATCTTCCTTAACCCTGTACAGACAAAGTTGACACTGAATCAACATACACACTGCTTTACGTTTCTGGCCTCTGTATTAGTAAGCTACATCCAGAGCTTACATGGATTCCAGCAGCTGTGTCCCATGTGGCTTTTCGGCTTGGTTTCACACACTGGAGCCAGGGGGAAGTCTTCTAAGTCTGCATGTGTCCCTCCTTTTCTATCTGTTAGTGGCTTTCCATTCCCTTTTTAGTGGGAACTTACAAAGTCCCTAGTGACTTGCCACCCTCTCTGACTTCTATCCCATTCCTCCCCTGCATGTACCCTATACATCTGTCACAGTTCATTGTAGCTCCACCATTCTCTGAATGTGCCGTGTTCTTCCTCTTATCGGTCGTTGGTTCATGCTCTTCCTGCAGCCAGAAATACACCCCCACCCCATGTCACCTGGCTGGTTCTTACTCCTTTCAAAGCCTTTCTGAACCTCTTTCCCCTGGATTAGATGGATTAGGCAGGTTCGCCTGGGCTCCCCTGGGTCCTGTGCATGCATTGGTCATAAAATGTATCGCAGTCTGTTCACAAGTGTATCCCCTTGAGTTTCTTACAGTTCCTTCTGGAGCAAAATACCCAGCATTTGGTGGGTGACTAAAATGTTTCCTTGAAAACATTTCCCCAGTAAACAATTGAAGAGTAACATCTTCCTTGTCCAGTTCTGCAGAACAGGGATACTATGTCTTACTGTTTGCTTGGGGTGTTTTGCAGCATTGTGAGCTGTTTTCAAGACTTCTGTGATTGTATCTGTGTGACCTGTGCAGAATGTGGTCTCATGAGTGGGCTAAAAGCTATTGAAATGGAAAGAATGGAAGGAGCGCCACCCCCAGCTGATGCTTTATAACCTTGTTATCTTTAGTTGCCACTACTGCCATTTATTTATCTTATTGATTTGAAGAGCAAATCACAGTATGTTTGCCATTTAACAAAGCTGTGCCAGTTAGCGCCTGACCTTGGGGTGATATGAATTGGCCTAGAAGGGTCCTAAAAACATCCTGTGCCCCATTATAAGTGATGAGACATGTTACAGCATCCCCAGTTTACTGATGTTAAACAATCTTAGGCATGGCTCAGAAACAGACTCTGTCCCATGTGCCCGACAGGTACCATGGCACAGGAAGAAGTGTATGGGGGAAGAGATAGGTTTGAATCCTGACACTACCACTTAGCTCAGTACTCTGTGATTATTTAACTTCTCTGAGCCTCAATATCATCATCTGAATATTGGGATGACAGTAGGACTTAAAATTGCTCATACTCATATTTTAAGGAATACCAGTAATCTGTGCATTGGGTTGACGATGATCCGTAAGTGGTAATTGTTACTTTCCATGTCCTCTGAACCTATAAAAGTTTAGAAAGTTTTGTCTGATCAAGGGAATTGTGCTACAGCCGCAATAATCACTAATTGTTTCAGTTCTAGCCTGGGTCCTTTACCTGTGATCTTTTTATTCCATGTTAAAAATCAGTGTGGTAGAAATGACAGTCAATTGATTTCCAGTATGTCTTTTGTAAGTTTGTGGTGGCTACCCACTCCTAGTAACAACTGAATTGTTTTTCACAGAAGAACGGCAGTATCGCTGTGAGGACTGTGATCAGCTCTTTGAATCCAAGGCTGAACTAGCAGATCACCAAAAGTTCCCATGCAGTACGCCTCACTCTGCGTTCTCCATGGTGGAAGAGGACTTTCAGCAGAAACTTGAAAGTGAGAATGACCTCCGAGAGATACATGCCATCCAGGAGTGTAAGGAATGTGACCAAGTTTTTCCTGATTTGCAAAGGTTAGAGATGGCATGTTGCACCACAATCCTTGTGTATTTACTCTGCCATAAAATGGTGTGCTGAATGTTGAAAATCTATGTGGCTGGGAAATTTGAAACTGTGATGAGCCAGACAAATGTGCTACTGGCATGTTCAGAAACCATTGTTCCCTGGAAGTTCTCATCTGTAAAATATTTACAGCAAAATTTGATGTAAGATAGAAAATAATATGCTATAGTATTATGTGGATAATGTTATTGGGAACTGAAGGCTTATCTTTCCAGTAAATCATGACTGAGAAAACAACAAGAATGTGGAATGGAAATGATGGATTTAGTACTTGTATGCCAAGAAACAGTAAAGCAATCTCTAGGAACATTTAGATGATGAAAAAAGAGTAGATATGATACTCACAAATTGACAGATGGTCTTTAAAAATTATATTTATTTTCATTTTATTCGAAAGGCGGAGAGACAGAAACAGACAGAGAGATCTTCATCCTCTGGTTCATTCCTCAAATGCCCACCACACACAGAGCTGGGCCAGTCTGAAGTCAGGAGCCTGGAACTCAATGTAACTCTCCACGTGGGTGGCAAAGACCCAAGCACTTGAGCCATCACCTGCTGTCGCTCAGGGTGTGCATTAGTAGCAGTGGAGGCAGGACTCAATCCCAGGCACTCTGATAATGGATGTAGGTGTCCCAAGTGGAGATCTTTATCCCTGCACCAATTACCTGCCCTATCAGGTGATATTTTGATTGAGCAGTGTAGCTCATGGGTTTAATTTCAACTGTATAAACTGCACATCTATGAAAAAATAAGAAATCCATATTCTAGTTCCTAAATTGTTGAATTTCTTAAAAGGAAAAAAAAATGAATGTAATAATCTAAAGGGAATAATCCTTAGGTACTTATTTTTTTAAAAAAATCAAAATTGTATCTCAGTTATGTATTAACCTTTTATAGCCCTTTGACTCTAATTTGAGAACATTTAAAAAATTTCTGTTAAAGAGAATCCTATAACCTCCCTTTAAAAATCATGTTAATAGTTATGATACAAAATGGTCTTTAGGTTCAGAAAACTACACAAATAGTGAATAGGTTTTTTGTTTGCTTGTTTCTACCTAATGGTTTTTGCCTTGGTCTACAAACAGTTTTAATAATTGAATTTACTATTTCAATTTTTAATCTAGAAATGATCCTTGGAACTTGTAATCAGAATTTGAAGAGAACATAGCAACATTGTATTTAAATGGGAATGGTAGTATATCAAGAATGAGAATTACTCAAAGTTTATGTTTGACACTCCACCTCATCCACTTAACCATTCGGTTTCCATTCCTTCCTTGGTGGCTCCTTCTCGCTCTCCTTTTCACTCGACTGATTGCCTACATCCTCTTTAAGAAAGGATTTCATATCATGGTCATTTACTTTAAGGTGCAAATAACCGAACAGGCATCACATATAATCCCTTCCTTAAAGAGACTGAAATGAAAGAATGAATCTCTGGCTTTGAAAATTCAGGTCTAATTTAGTTATTAGAAAACATTTTGGGGGATAAGAGGGCTTTCCAAGCACTCTTAAGACTCATCTCTGCTACTTACTATAAACCTGCAAACTGAATAAGTCTATTATATATGCTTGGTAATACATGGATTTCTAATAAAAAAAAAAGTAACAGCATGTCCCCTTAATATTATCATGCCCAGATTAACAAGCAAAATGAAACTAATACATGCCAAGAGTCAGAAAAGTATTTACACTGTAAAGCGATATCTCTGGCATTAAAAATTCAGTATATTTCCTTTAATTATATTATCATAAATAATGGACAGCATTATAAAGCAAACATTGACAGACTAAACACTAAAATGTAATTCTGACTTCCTCCTAGTATTGTTGAGCAGCACGTCGTAGGTGGAGAAAGCTTAATCTGCCTCCTTGGAAAATTATGCTTAAGCTCGAGTCAACACAGCCTGTTGCTGAAACCAACTGTCAGTGTAGTTGATTCAGTCAGATAGTCAGTGGAAAACAGTAAAGAAACCCAATTATCTGGCACTGGGTTAACTCTCAAAATGTACTTAATGGTGGCCCAGTTAGATGGATGAAGCATCTCATAGGCATCTGGATGTCAGTCAGTCCTCAGGTCATGTTTTCGGTTATGAATTATATATATATATATAGTTTAGCCACATGTTTAACGTACATTCCCTGAACACTTTCCACTCTATTGAATACTGTAACATTACTTTATATTTTAAACAAATGAAAATTCATTTCTTGACACAATATATTCTGTTCTGTATCTTCTATGTAAAATCTTGAAAAAAGAATGTAAAAGAGAACAAGAAATCGGTGAAGACTGATGTATGCAAGAGATGAAAAGAGCTCAGCGTGCTGAGCAAAACTCTATAAATTGAGGTTAAATTCTGTGAAAAGTGGAAAAGTCTCACTAACGATGGATTGAATTGTTTCTGATTATGAAAGCAATACACATTTGCTTTTGTGAGAGCAACTTTATTACTTTTTTTCTTTTTAACACTGACTCACTGACAGCTGTGATGCCGTGGAACAATGTGGATCTTCTGATAGACTATGGGAAGCAAAGAAGGGAAAATTTCCCTTGCTTTGTTCTTCTCACTCCTCCCATTGACGTGGACTCAAAATACACTCCTAAAGCTAAACCATACCCTTGCGGTTATTGGAAAAAAGCAAGACTGAACAGAAGCCGATCTTTTGCCTCTAGATTTCAGGGTTTATGATTTGACATATGGCACATTGGAATATATTTCGTGGAACGTCTTGCTTTCTTGGGTTGTCAGGGTTGGACAGTGAGAATTACAGTCTGTGCTCTGATTTTGGAGGATGCCCCTCAACTGCAGTTGCTGGTATCTTTCTCTTAACTCTTTTATTAACATTTCAACTTCTGTAACAAACAGAGGATTACATATAACAGATGAAGATAGGGCCTCTCTTATGACTACACACACCTGTACTCTCCTGGTACCTTGTGTTCATGGAGATATCACCACTTGTGCTCAAATAGAATAGTGCTTCCAACTCGACTGACTCATGGGCAGGAAAAATAAGTTCATGTGCCAATATGAACAGAGCTGTAGGGAGGAAGCTGGGTTAGAGAAAAAGTGGGGGAAAGGCACTTCTAATTTACTGAGATATGAGACTGGCTACTTCATTTTCTTACCCAGACTCCCACTCTCCTAGTCCGCACAGCCACAATGGTAACATATTCTAGGCACACAAAGTTCTTAATTGATTTTCAAATTTAGCCTTTATCTCACAGATAAAGAAAGCGTGGAGAAAACCAGAACTTACATATTTAGTAGTTTTTTTTTAAGATAACTTTTTGTTATGGAAAGTTTCAACTACACACAAAGCTAGAGAGAAGTTAAAAACAAAAGCCCATATGTATAGCATCAGTAATTATCACACAAGGTCAATCTTGTCTCAGCTGTACCTGTTTTGGATTATTTGAACCAAATTTTGGACATTATATCATTTTATTTATAAATGGTTCAGTATGTGTCTGTAGAAAGCAAGGACTCTTACAACGTAAGGTCAACACCACACTTTCAAAAATCATAATTCCTTAACATTATCAAATATTCAGTCAAAGTTCAAGTTTCCCCAACTATCTCGTGACTTTTGAGTTTTTGGTTTGAATTAAGACCCATATAAAGTCCATACATAGCAATAGGTCAACAAGCCCCTTTTGTCTATTTTTATCTGAAGATTTCCCCCAGGCATCTCTCTCTCTCTCTCATTACAATATATTTATAGAAGATGATAGAAGAAACTGAATTATCTTTCCCATAGCATTTCCTCCAGTCTGGATTCTCCTGTTTGTATCCCCTTGCAGTTGTTTAACACCTTCATTCCCTCTATTTCCTATAAACTCATAGTTATATCCCAAGCCTAGTTAGGATTTATGCTCAATGTTTTCATAAGAACATTTCACTGATAATGTCGTTTGTTTGCATCAGGAGACACATAGTGGACTTCCTGTGCTCCTTAATCCTTCAGGGGCTGCAAACTGAACATATTCTAGTCCTATCTTTCTTTCATCATTTATTGTTCATATTAATTCTGTGTAGAGAAACTGTCCTTTCTTGTCTGTCTGGTTACCCCAAAGTTCAGTTCATATTGGCAAAGCAGGGCATGTGCACTGCCTTGTCTCCTTTTATTTACCGGTTTTCAAATAATGATCTGGCTTCCCAGCATCTATACTGTGAGAGTGACCGGTGAGGTTCTGTTTGTGTGTTTTGAATATCTTTGTTGTTAAAAGACTTACTCTCATTGGTGTTTAGCTTACCCACTTTGGGTCTGTTCGAGTTGGCACCCTAATTTTTTTTACATGATCTATAACTTTCTCATTTTTTTCAATGCAGGGTGTTCAAAACTCATATATTTTGTGCATCAGATTTAAATAGGCTCTTTCTCCAAGGAGAAATCCTGGTTACTTGACTTGGGGGCGCAGTTTCCTTGTGTACTTGGGGGTAGTATCCTATTATGTTTCATGTCTGTGCATTTAATCAGCAAAAAATCAGATTTCTTTTGACTATCACCGTAATCCATTATCTGTAATATTTGTTTTTCATTATATTCATGCATATTTCAGAAAGGGGGGAAAATCTGAGAAGGAAAAATTGTTCTAAGCTTTAAGACTATCCTTTTGAGAAATTTCTAAACCTGCCTTATTTTTAGAGGCCTTAATAATGTATCTGCTTGAAATATTATACACTCTTCTCCTTAATTCATGCATTATATTTATCATTCTACACACCCATCTTTATTAGTGTGTGTGCATATATATGTGTATATACATATACATGCATATCCTTGCAACTGTCTGTCCATCCATCCATCCATCCATCCAAGGGGCAAATTGGGAAGCTGCTTGTTGAACAATTAGCTTGTAGATCATTTTCACATGGGTGACACTTATAGAAACAACAGTACCTTTTATGAATTTAGAGGTTATGTACATTAAACAGTATACCTACCTGCATGTTCTTAGCATTTTTTTTTAACATTTTCTGTTTGAGCATTTGAATTAAGTGGGTGTTATCACTATGTGCTGTTTTAGAATTGTGTAAGGAATCTAGAACTGGAGAAATGGCATGTTGTTTACCATGCTCCTAGCTTGACAGATAATCCCTGCTAGCTGTCCCAGATTTATTTTCTAACAACAGCAGTACATTTCTACATTAGTGGGAGATGCAGTTTAGGAAACCTAAAATGTAGTTTTGTCCATCACAAGCCTGTTTCTTCTCTTTCCTCCTTCTCATCTCAACTCTTACTCTTTATTTCCATAATTACTGGTTGGGCTAGTAATAAAATTATTTTTTTAAAAATTGGACCTATCTGTTGTCACTGTGTCTTATTAAAATCAGTTGTTCTCTTAACAGCCTGGAGAAACACATGTTGTCACATACAGAAGAGAGAGAATACAAGTGTGATCAGTGTCCCAAGGCATTTAACTGGAAGTCCAATTTAATTCGCCACCAGATGTCACATGACAGTGGAAAGCACTATGAATGTGAAAACTGTGCCAAGGTACAGTGAATTTGCAGGCTGCTTGGCCTCTCTCTGTCATCTTGCTCTTTCTTAATCCATCACTTGTTACGATATATAAAAACAAGCCTTGAGAGGGGAAACTATAAATATCTTGAGAAAAGTAGCCTGAGTGTTGTATGCTAAAAGGCATTAGTAGAGTGTATAAAAACACTTAGTGGGTATCCTTTTATTTTTGTAAGGGAGGAAGTGAGGCTTAATGGCGAGTTCCAGAACTAGGTGTCAGACATCCTTGGTAAATTCCTGGTTCCGCTACTGACTTGCCAGCATGGGGTTGTTTTATAGCCTTACGGGGAATGAAAATTTTATCCAATGCACATTACTGATTTCTTTTAATAGCAGTGTGTGAGGAAGTCACGTACAGTTTCTGAATGCCTACTGAGAAAGAATGGGAGACTCCTGCATTTGCAGATTTTTCCACCTAAGTCCTCACAATAAATCACGATATGGTTCTAATTAAAAAGTTTCGATCCTCTGTCTGAGTAGCCAGTACTGACATAAAATAAGGGTGGAACGCATGTATCCTACTTGGACCAGAACTGTGAACTACAGCAAGAGTAATTCACATCTTTGATTTCGGTGTTTCTTAATTGAACTCAAAGATGTGCAGGTATCATTAAAGTTGCTTTCTATCGTCAAAAACTTTTTGTAGCAGCTGAGTGCCTTTTCTTATGTCGATTGAAATGGTAGCATTGGAAATTAGGTTTTAGTGTATTTTGCTCTTGGATATGTTGGTTGACTCCCCTCCCCTGCCCTCCCCTCCCCTCCCCTCCCCTCCTCTTTTCTCTCCTTTCCTCTCCTCTCCTTTCTTTTCCCCTCCTCTCTCTTCCTCTCCCCTCCTCTCCCCTCTCCTTCCCTCCCCTTCTCTTTTCTTTTCTTTCATTTTTTTCAGTACAGTGGCCAAAGAAATAACTTTAGCTTGCTGGTAACTTACTGTAACACAGAGTTTGGGAAACTGTTCAGATATCTTTGAAGTATTTTAGTTTAAAAATCTCCCAACTTTTGTGTATAATATATCTTTCTTTAAAGAGTAGAAGAAACATGCCAGTTGTAATCATAGCGTGGCTGTGGTTTTGTTATTCCTCTCCAGGCATTCTTTTTGTTCACATTTTGATTTTTAATTAGTTTTTAACATTCAAGGTGATTTGTAGATACAATTTTTACAACATATTGGTATTCCCTTCCTCCCCCTCTCTCTCTTTCCTTCCCCCTTTCTTTCTTTTTTTTTTTTTTTTTTTTTTTTTTTTTTTAGTTTTTGAGATAACATATTTTAAAACTACATCAAATAGGCTTCAAACTTCACTGAATAAGAAGCTTAACAATTAAAAAGCAAAAAGACCCTAGTTTAGTGGGAGTAATCAGTTTCACAACAGTATAAAACAAAATTTTACAAAACTATATTTGCAGCAATACTGATGCACACTCTTAAGTGGAATCAAAGAGACCTTGAACATGGCCTAAAGCACCATTCATTCTATTCGTGTTCAACTGATAGCAGTGGATACTCCATGCTAAGAAGATAGAGCTGAATACTTTATTTTATTTTTTATTTTATTTTATTTTTTTCCCATGAGCTGAATACTTTATAATTCTTGCTGGGATGGGAGAATACTTTGGAGATAGGACTCTCACTTGCTCTTTGGGAACAACAAACGGGTGCACAGAATTCCTTCTGCATCACCCTGGCCTCCTTTCCTGGGTCTTGGGTGAAGTTTCCTGATTAATCAGTACTCATTTCCTAGCAGGTTTTCACGGACCCTAGCAACCTGCAGCGGCACATTCGCTCCCAGCATGTCGGCGCCCGGGCCCACGCGTGCCCGGAGTGTGGCAAAACCTTTGCCACGTCGTCAGGCCTCAAACAACACAAGCACATCCACAGCAGTGTGAAGCCGTTCATCTGTAAGTGCTTAACGCTCCAGCCCTCCTTCCCGCATCTGTCTTCCCTCCACAAGAACTGCGACCAGCAGAATGGCCGCACGTGGCCATTAGGGGACTCGCCGGTATTTGGTATTTTTGGTCCGTGCAGTAGGGCTATTTTCTAGGACCAAAAGAAAAAAAAATCTTCGATACCCAGATCTGTGGTATTTTTGTTCATGATCTCTGGGGTGTTTTTCTTTAGATGAAATAAATAACAGGGAGAGAAAAGAGAAGTCATTAAAGAATGAAAGGAAAGCTTGCTGGGTTGTAGGGTTTAATAGAGACAACCAGATTTGTCTCACACTGTAAATGTTCCTGGCTTCGTAAAATGGCAAATAGCAAGATGAAGTGATAAACGCGATGAAGTGATTAAAAACCTGTTCTGGATCAGAAAGAGCTGGAAGAATCCCACCTGGCAAGTAGCCGTCTGACTTGGTGTGTGCGTGTTTGTGTGCGGAGAGAGGGTGAATAAAATGCTCTTTAATCTACCCATCGTCACTGGTCACGGGCTGCGGATCAGTAGTTCTGTTACTTGAAAAGCAGAACATTTTCCCTTTGATGGTGGACACGCTGCTTCTCTTACTCACTGCGCTAAAGCAAATTTACAGGCAGTGTGCATGCGGGGGACATGCAATCTGACCAGCTACTTAGCACACCTCTGTACAGAGCACTTTAGTACCATACTTCAAATAAAGTAAAACTCAGTCTTCATTTGCTTTGCCTCCGTCCACTCACTCCTGTGCTCTGTGTTTGTTGCACTGGAAAATCGGTAGATTTTAGTCCATCTGGGCAACAGCGCTGGGCTGCTTTTGATCCATTGCTCGGCTGGACGTATAAATACAGTGACTCATTGAGTTGTGCTGCAAACTTCAAGACTGATTTTGGATCCAGATACACATAGAATTGGTTGAAGCCTGTTCAGCACTTGGCCAAACCTATCATTTGGGAACCTCTTGAAAAACAGTTTTTCTAACAAATACCTGATGGTTTGTAGGAGGTATATGAGACACTACTACAGGACCTTAAGGGGGAAACTTAATTTCAGTGCCAACAGCGAGATGCCAGAGACTCACTCTCTACTTCTTTGCCCTGGACACAGCCTTTTTTTGTGCTTCCAAGCACCAAAAGAGTTGTTCTTTCTTTTCTCAGCTTACACTAGGAGTCTTGTTTTGCTTGTCTGTTCTTCTAGTCCCTGGGTGGAGTGAGAGGACTGGTAGATAAATAAAAGGGTGCTCTAATCTCCCTTGGGAAAGCTCTGTTGAAAGTCACAGGAAGTAAAGTATACAATAGGAATTTTAGACTTCTTGTCTCAAAAAAGGATTCCTGAGTCTACGTGGTAATGTCCTAAATATGTCCATGAAAATGCTGCAGGCATACAGTATCAAGTAGTTCATTTGTTTCTGATTTCTCAGAAATAAATTTTAGTAAGTTTTATTATGTTTTGATGAGAAAAGGAGTAGAATAGACCACAATGCTGATTACTCATTTAATGCTTTCTGTATTGTTTAAAATAAATGTCAGAAAACATGAGCCCCTGTCATCTGAGGTTCTGGGATCTGGAATTTTAATTGTGTTAAAGTCAAATGTTTCACTTTAAAGCGCCATAGGGTATCCCTTTCCAATCAGATTGCATAACATATTTCCCATGAATATGTTTTCAGTAATTATTGGCAAATTTAAATAGCAGATGGCATTCTTCAAATACAAAATCTGACAGAGACCCGTGGAGTAATTATGAATAATAGCCGTGTCATTTCAGAACAAAAGAGTTTGAGGATCAGGAGTTGGTGTGGAGGAGGTTCACCTAGAGCTGGTATCTGTTTCGCACCAGAAGGCCACACACCACGCTTTACCCCCACTGGTGTGTTTATGGCAACTGTCTCTTATTACAGTGTGCCCCCAAGCCGAGCCCAAAGTCACCCGTGCGAAGGTAATCACTCACTGCCTTTACAGAAACCTCCAGCCTCGCAAATAGAAACCACATGCTCTAATAGACTGAATAGATTCAAAATACCTCTTAATTTGTTTAATAAGCAGAAAAATGCAACATTAACTGCTGGCTAATTCCTTATTACTGAGAGAATTACAATAGAGTGTAGACTTCAACAGCATTGGAACCAGTTTACCTGGAGGCCTGGCGGTTTGTGGTGTACCAGGCCAGCCCTTCAAGTGCTCTGCCTAAGGAAACATCCCAGATTCTGTGTTCTTGTGACCAGACACAAAAGCCACTCATCCGTGTAACAAAGGATAGAGCCGGGGAAGTCAAATGCAGCATCTGTTTCTCCAGCACAGAAAAAGTGCTTGGTTTTCTTAAAGCCAGGCAACTCCAAGAAACAAGAGTATAGAGCCATATTGCCTTGCAAAAGTTGTAGCCCTTTCAAATACTTAATGCTTTGGTTGAAAGCCCACGAAGACATATCCTAGATACCTTTCCAATGCCCAGGGAAGAGATGTTGCTTTCTTAATGAGCGCATTTTTGTAATTCCAATAATCTTTTATTTACTCTTTTTTTGGTTATAATTCATAGTGGAATTAGTATAGTGTGTCTAGCAAAAGTCGTGGTGTTTTCCCTCTGCATCATGCGATTTTAATTAGTGTATCAAAGAATTTAAATAGTATGCATAGTTATAGTGTAGGTTAAGTAGTACAAACTTTTAAAACAGAACCCTGGCCAGTATATTCTGGAAGAATGATTAAAGAAGAAATCACATCATCTTTTCCTATTAAAATGCATGAGACAACCTCTAAAGGGTTAAGAATCATCTTTTTAAGAAGGCTCCTTTAAAATAACCAAGCACCCTTGATGTATATAGCAACATAATTTAACTTTAGCAGTAAAAGAAATAGATAAGAAATCAATTGTTAGTTCCTGTTTGCATGCGTTTTCTTGGTGCGTTTTTCTTGAGGAAGGTCTATAAAATCTCTTTTGCATGGTGTTTATGTTCTGATTATTAACGCTTTGACTCAGGAGCTCAACCATTCTGCACTTCCAGGCAGTCATCGTGTGCCACAATACACAGGGCATTTTGTCTTCCATTTAATTTCTTAAAATAAATGTGTTTCAGGAATGGCCAACAGAGTATATGTTGTTTCTGCATGTATTAAACATGCACAGAAACATTAAAGTAAACTCACATGGACGGTTAGCTCATTTACAGCAAAGGAAAATAAAATAAAATACGATACTTTGAAACAGATATCATAAGCCTGCTGACCTGTGAAGTGAGTGGGATTCTTTCTTAGCAAGGGAATCCTTCGGGGTTGCAAAGTTTGGTCTTAAAATATGCTTAGATCTGATGACACATCCATGAAGAAGAAAGACATTCCACTTTCTTGGTAAATTCCTGGCAAAGGGGGCTATTTCACAGCCGTACCCACTGCTGCGTCGTCCTTGCTGGATTGGAGCACTCCCAGCCCTCTCCCCTGCTTACCACAGTTGGCTGTCACACATAGAAGTCAAGGCCTGAGATAACGGGTGAAGATAGGACAACAGTGGACATGTTTCCCAGGAACGGGGGTTTCATAAATGCAGGAAGATTAGCACAGCCACTGGTGTGAGGGGAAGTCAGAGGACGTGATCATAGTTCATGGGAACCAGCAATGCAGGATGGGCTACATTCAATTTAGTTTCCTTTGCAGGCTTAAAATAGAGCCATTGTAAATTATGTCAGTCTTTCTCAAATCATGAAAATGATTGTTAAAAAAAGTCTCAGAATACACAATGTGCATTGTTATGTGGCTTTGATGTGTGAATGATGAGAGTGTATGATATAATGCTAATTAAATAACAGTAGAGCAGGCACAGATATTCTCTTCAAGGGGAGAGGTATTAAAGTGAAATTTCTGGATGAGGGAAAGGCCGTTCTATTTTGTCTTGGGTCCTACGATGTAGAATTCTTTAACTTGTCTAAAATTAAAAGGGTTCCTTTTATGCTTCATACCTAATATATCTTAAGACTTGTGATTTTTTTTAAAGATTCTATTAGTGTCATTATTGGGTGGGGAGTCAGTGCATGCTGGAATTTGACTTTTTCGGAAAGATTTAAATACACAAATATTATGCAAAATATTGTGCAGTGGGGGAATGACAAAATCTTTAAATATATATATATATATGGAATATTTGTGCTGCCTGGAGACATTTGTCAGGTTGGATGCCTTGCTTTGGAATCTAGTAAAATGGGGGTTTTCTGTGTTTGGAGCATCCAGATTGTACCCCCGATATCTTTTCCTGGCTTCTTAATTGAAATTTGGGGTAAACCAATTGTGATACTTGCTAAATTCAGAAGCAATTGCCATAAAGCCTGAGATTCTTTTTTGTTGTTTGCACACAGGTGAGGTCTGCCATAAATCCTATACTCAGTTTTCAAACCTTTGTCGACATAAGCGCATGCATGCTGATTGCAGAACCCAAATCAAGTGCAAAGACTGTGGACAAATGTTCAGCACTACGTCTTCCTTAAATAAACACAGGAGGTTTTGTGAGGGCAAGAACCATTTTGCGGCAGGTGGATTTTTTGGCCAAGGCATTTCACTTCCTGGAACCCCAGCTATGGATAAAACGTCCATGGTTAATATGAGTCATGCCAACCCGGGCCTTGCTGACTATTTTGGCGCCAATAGGCATCCTGCTGGTCTTACCTTTCCAACAGCTCCTGGATTTTCTTTTAGCTTCCCTGGTCTGTTTCCTTCCGGCTTGTACCACAGGCCTCCTTTGATACCTGCTAGTTCTCCTGTTAAAGGACTATCAAGTACTGAACAGACAAACAAAAGTCAAAGTCCCCTCATGACACATCCTCAGATACTGCCAGCTACACAGGATATTTTGAAGGCACTCTCTAAACACCCACCTGTAGGGGACAATAAGCCAGTGGAGCTCCAGGCCGAGAGGTCCTCTGAAGAGAGGCCCCTTGAGAAAATCAGTGACCAGTCAGAGAGTAGTGACCTTGATGATGTCAGTACACCAAGTGGCAGTGACCTGGAAACCACCTCGGGCTCTGATCTGGAAAGTGACATTGAAAGTGATAAAGAAAAATTTAAAGAAAATGGTAAAATGTTCAAAGACAAAGTAAGCCCTCTGCAGAATCTGGCTTCAATAAATAATAAGAAAGAATACAGCAATCATTCCATTTTCTCACCATCTTTAGAGGAGCAAACTGCGGTGTCAGGAGCTGTGAATGATTCTATAAAGGCTATTGCTTCTATTGCTGAAAAATACTTTGGTTCAACAGGACTGGTGGGGCTGCAAGACAAAAAAGTTGGAGCTTTACCTTACCCTTCCATGTTTCCCCTCCCATTTTTTCCAGCATTCTCTCAATCAATGTACCCATTTCCTGATAGAGACTTGAGATCGTTACCTTTGAAAATGGAACCCCAATCACCAAATGAAGTAAAGAAACTGCAGAAGGGCAGCTCTGAGTCCCCCTTTGATCTCACCACTAAACGAAAGGATGAGAAGCCCTTGACTCCAGTCCCTTCCAAGCCTCCAGCCACGCCTGCCACAAGCCAAGACCAGCCCCTGGATCTAAGTATGGGCAGTAGGAGTAGAGCCAGTGGGACGAAGCTAACTGAGCCTCGGAAAAACCATGTGTTTGGGGAAAAGAAAGGCAACAATGTTGAATCAAGACCAGCTTCAGATGGTTCCTTGCAACATGCCAGGCCCACTCCTTTCTTTATGGACCCTATTTACAGGTAAGGGCCAGTAGGAGATGATGAAATGTGAGTGCAGATACGAAAGGTGGTTTTAACACTACAAACTCCCATCTTCCCCAAAAGGTTTTTTATTATTATTATTATTATGAGAGAGTCAAGTTGTTTGATCTAGTGAAATCTGTTTTTTTTTTTTTTAATTCAGAAAATTGGCTCTGTAGGTTTGGACTCATTTTTGGATATCTCTGAGTTTGGAATAAGCCAACAGAATTTCTTTCCCATGACAATAAATTTATTTTTAAACATTGTTTTTTTGGAGTGGAAAATATGTAAAAGTTGTATTTGAAGTGATTTGTCAAGTGGCAGAAGAATGATACTCCTGGAGGATTAATGCAAACATGTATGGGTACCTTTATATGCAAGAGTCTACTCTGTGTTAACCCATCAACACATCCTTTGCATCTGTTCTGTTTCTCAATAGATTTCTTAAGAGCTCTAAGTAAATGTAATGTTAATCACAAAAATCTGTTTTGTATATAACATGAGTAGTTCTCCTAAAAGAATCTCTATTTTTTACAATGATTTATTTATTTATATGAAAGGAAGAGAGAGAGAGAGAGGTCTTCCATCCATTGGTTCACTCTCCAAATGACCACAACAGCCGGAGCAGGGCCCATATGAAGCCAGGAGCCTGGATCTTCTTCCAGGTCTCCCATGTGGGTGCAGGGGCCCAAAGACTTGGACCATTTTCTACTACTTTTCCAAGCACGTTAGCAGAGAGCTAGATCAGAAGTGGAGCAGCCAGGACTTGAACTAGAGCCCATATGGGATGCAGCACTGCAGGTGGCGTGTTCACCCACAACGCCACAATGCCGGGCCCAGAATCTATATTTAATGGCTTAATTATTCAGGTTTGTTTATGAATCCAAAAATTCTTTAGGTGAAATTACGTATTTAATAAAATACCTCTTAGGCAGTATTCTGCAATAGTTACTTAACCATTCAAAGTGATTTAGCTTATTTCTTTCAATTTCTCTCTCTCTCTCTCTCTCTCTCTCTCTCACACACACACACAGAGAGAGAGAGAAAGAGAGAGAGAGAGAGAGAGAGAGTTACAGTTGCTGGTTCACTCGACATATGCCTGCTACAGCCAAGTTAAAGCTGGGATCCAGGTACTCAGTCCAGGTCTCTCATATGATTGACAATGTCTAACTACCTGAGCTATCATCTGCCGCCTCCCAGAGTCTAGACTGGCAAGAAGTTGGAATCTGAAGTCCATGCTGGGAATTGAACCCAGGCAATTTGATATGGGGCATGGGAGTCTTAACTGGTGTCTTAGGTCAAATGACTGCCTGTGATTTAGCTTTTAAAATTTAGTTTTCTTTAATTGATATAAATAGCAATTTAATAACATAAATATAACATAAATAATATATCTAGTATACTCATTCAGTAGTTTTTAAAATAAATATAAACAAGAATTTATAACATTTAAAATATAAGCATTTTTTGCACTTACTATCTTATTCAAATCTTGTACACAGTCATAGCTTCAATGAATCTGTAGGTAATTTTTATTGAATTTACTTAAAATGAGAGTATTTTCAAATTTTTTCTTGATTCTTTTCTATGGAGAAAAGATTTTGTGCTGTTCATCCATTCGACATTGTTGATGAAATTCCTTTTATCTAATTGGCACTAGACCTGCAAATTCTTTTCACGTAAAAGCCTTTTAAAAAAATTTGAGAGGTAGAATTAGAGAGAGAGAGAGAGGGAGAGACCGGGAGCAAGGTCTTCCATTTGGTGGTTCACTCCCCAAATGGCTGTAATGGCCGGAGCTGGGCCCATCTGAAGCCAGGAGCTTCTTCCGGGTCTTCCACATGGGTGCAGGGTGCCAAGGACTTGGGCCATCTCTACTGCTATCCCAGACCACAGCAGAGAGCTGGATCGGAAGAGGAGCAGAAGGGCCAAGAACTGGTGCCCATAAGGGAAGTCAGTGCTGTAAGCAGAGGCTTAGCCTACTGACAGTGCCGGCCCTAAAAGTCCTTATTTCTGCTTATATCATCTACAACACATAAATAAAGGAACACCACCAGGGTTACTCTGATTTGAATATGACACAGGGAATATAATAAGACAGTACAAAAATATCTGGGTGCTATCTTGACCATATTTGGGACTTTTCCCTATGATTATATCTTAAATCCTATGGCAGTCCCAGTACTGGAGAAGGAAACACATACCTTTTGGATTATACATGTAGATTATAGGTTACACATTTCCAGTAAGGTCATATTTCCAGCCGCATGACGCATCTCTCAGTCCTTTGTGAAGATAATTTCTCTTAACTTCTTAGACCCTTTCAATCAAAACCAGCTTCCAGTTCCTCCATGTGTACGTTGGACTCATCTCTGTCACCTCCTAACCTTCCTCTTACTTCCTTTCATCTCCAACTTCTCTCTGATGTTTCAGTTTTGATTAAGGTCCTAAGCCTGTCATTTTACCAAAATCATGAACGGACTAAATCCCAATTATAGTTTCAGGACCTGGCTGAAATCTCACTTTCCCCTGTCCTAAACTTTTATCTCCACCCAAAAAATGGATACAATATCACCTACTTCAATAAGTGAAATAGGATATACAAAACATGACATACTTAAAATTTTACGAAGTGGAAACTATCTTTATTCATTTAAATTATATTTTTTCAGGTATACTCATTCAGTAGTTTTTAAAGGAAAAATACCAGCAGTTGGTAGAAGAAATACTTTAGTGTAACTCATGATATCATTTTCCTTATGTGCTTAATACAAAATAGAGTGGCAAATATTTCTGAAGCAACAGGGATAGGTACATTTTATACTCCCATGTCTCTCCCTATCTTTAAAAAGTCCTTATCATCCTCTTCTAACCTGCTCAGTTTATCACCAGGTGGTACCTAAAGAATGTGTATGTGTACATGTTTGTGTGTGTATATATGAACGTGTGTGTGTGTGTGTGTGTGTGTGGCTAGTAGGGCATATAGGATGTTTGGAACTCCCTTGCTATTAAGGGAAAAAATAGAAGAAACAAATGAATTTTTTTGGGGGGGATAACTTCTTGTTAAAAAAATAGCTTTTCATGTTTAAAATTAGTTCTGTTCTCAAGACTTCAGAATTGCCAAGGCCTCCTCTTTTCTCCATTTCAAATGGAAAGGTACTGAATTTGTGACAAATGACTCTAATTCACTAACTCCTCATTCTTCATATTTCCTCATTGTCATTACTAGTCATTCGGTGGAATTTTTCCATTATAAATAGGAGCACTTAGAAGTGCCATGAGTATCCTTCATGAACTGAACAGGCATCCTTCTATTTTTATTAGTGTGCTTCCCAGAAACCTACCATTTGCTTTATTGTTAGCTACTTTAAATGTCAGTAATTATGTAGTGATTGATATGTAAGACTAATTCATCTCCAAAATCTAATTTTAACCTTTCAGAGTAGAGAAAAGAAAACTAACTGACCCACTTGAAGCTTTAAAAGAGAAATACTTGAGACCTTCTCCAGGATTCTTGTTTCACCCACAAGTGAGTATTTTGAACTTGAGATTTCAAGCTTGTAAACTAACTTGTTGATCCTGAAAAGCAGGTGCAATGAAATGAAAGAAATCTTGAGAACACTAGGATTTCCTATGACGCTGCTGTGGAAGAACACAGGAAATTCTAGCAGAATTAAAACCCAAGCTCTTTAAAGAAAAAGCAATTCACATACGTGTAAGAATAACATGATTTTGGTGTTAAATTATTGTCTGCTACTAACTACTTAAGCCCAAGTGCATTTTGGAATGAGCAGAACTTAGTTAAGAAAAATAAACATTGAAATTGTCTTTTGTGTTTAAAGGTTGCTGACACTAAGATATGGATCATACTGTGACTCCTCTCAAACTCATAAAGGTCATTCTTGTTCTTTTAGTGCTTAGATAAAAACAGGAAATGAGTCTACCTGACAAGTTGTTACCATAGAGGGTGAAGGAATTTATCTAGAGACCACTGGGCATTCCAGCAAAGATCTGTAATTGCACAAGAATTCACAATACACAGAGCTATTTGCTGAACAGAGTTGTGTCTATTTATCAAAATATATACAGTTTCTTATTGCGAGGAAAATACAAATACAAAGGAGTATTATCTAATTGGTTCATCTCTATGTCCCTACTCATTTAGTGATTTTAAAAAAAATCCTGGTTTCCATTATCAATCATCGTCTGCAGAGTTGTATTGAAAGAACAAATAAATACATTCTTGAATTAAGTTTCTTTCTTTATTTTTTATTTTATTTTAAAAGATACAAGCTCTGGTCTGGATAGCAAAACTCTTAAGAAAATGATCGAAAACCATAATTTGTTCTGATCTGATATGTTCAACCCCCAAAAGATGATCCTCCAAAACAACTGGTATACAATCTTTTGGAAAGTTATGGGATAATTAAATTATTCATCTTGGGATATGATTTAAAATTTTATTTGCCTCTCTGTTACCTTGTGTCTACTTTTTTCAAGTACATTCCCAAAGCCATAAGCAAAGAGTATGAGTTGAAATGCAATGCAATCTCCTGTGTTAGCTGGAAAAATCTGTTATTGTTCAAAAATTCCCACTTCATATCTAACTGAGAAAATACATGCTTTAATATTAAGGGTTTAGAAACATATTAGTGGTATTAATTTTATATAAAAAGCATAAGGAAGGATACCGTTTACATAATTACAGAAAACAAGAAAGTTCTAGAACAACAAATGTTTATCAGGGCCTTATATCTTATGTTCATGCTGTTCTAATTAACACTTGCAAGGTTTCCTGGGGTGATTAACCTGAATATAATGTGCATTTTGTGTCACATGGTGTTATATAAAGTGCATCTCTTATAGTTTAAGTTTTTGATTAATATGTCGTACTTGTGTATTTTTATGGAATATGTATATTACAACAGATGTGTACAGCATAAACTGATCAAATCAGCTGGTGATTCCATTTCCTTTTGTTCATGTTTAAAGCCTTTTAACTTCTCTCGTCCAGTGCTGTACGTAGTACATAATACATTATTGTGAACTGGTGTTGCCCCACTGTGCTGGGGAACATCAGAACCTGCTTCATCTGACTGTGTTTTGGTATACGTTAGCCAACCTCTCTCTGTGTCCCCTCTCCCCATCCTCATCCCCTGTACATCTCTCTTGATAACTTCCTTTCTTATGCTAAAGAAATACTTGTGATGATATAATATTCATGTACATTTAATTATAATCACATTATTGTCATATTCTTTAAAAATATTTAATTTATTGGAAGGGCAAAATGTTAGGGAATGAGGAGAATGTGTATGTGAGAGAGAGAAAGAGAGAGAGAGAGAGAGAGAGATCTTACATTTTTTGGTTCATTCCCACAATGGCCAGTGCTGGGCCAGGCCAAAGCCAATAGCCCAAACTCCATTCAGGTCTCCCAGGTGGAAGGCAGGGGCCTAAGCAGGTGGGCCATCTTTTGCTGCTTTCCCAGGCACATTAGCAGAGAGCGAGATTGGAGCAGAGCAGCTTAGACTTGAACCAGCACTTTAATAAAGTATGCTGGTGTTGTTATGAGTGTATGATACAATTGAGAAAAAAACAAGACTAGAGTTCAGTGTTTTTTAGCAAACAGTCTACTAGGCTCTTGGTTTTCTTGTTTGTAAAATTAGAAGTGGGTGTAAGATCCCTACCCACTCTGAAATTAAAAGATTTCTAGCTAATCAAGGTGTGTTTGCTGGTCGATTATATGGGCAGTTTTGTCTGCCGTTCACCATATATATATATATATATATATATATATATATATATATATAAAGCTGATTTTAATATGGTATCTCAACATTTTTAATAAAACGCTATGAGAGAAGACATGTTCTATTTTAGTATTCCCAGAGTTAATGGAGGATCACGAGAGATGGTGCTTGTGCCCAGTGCATGGTGCACTGTGATCCTTCCTTCTATTTCACAGATGTGCCTGAGGGAACCCAGTGCAGGGGGTGACTTCTTCCCACTGCAGAGTGGAAGGTACCATCTGTTGCTGCATGTTGCTGTTAGAGCAGGACCCAAGAGTGATAATTCAAATATCTAACTTATCTAACTCTTGATCTGACCCAAATACCAGATAATCAGAATGGATTCCTGCTATGCTGGAGCAGGATTTTGGAGGCCTTTGCTGTACCAACTGGGAACTGTTTTATTGGCTAAATAGTAGGGCTATCATTAAAGAAGAGGCCAGGGAATCAAGAGTTACTCAGGGTGCTTAGAGAAGAGGCTAATTCCCAAGTACTACAGAAATATATTATCATTACAGTTGTCTTCGTGTGTAAGCTGGGATACAAGCAGGAGAAGCTTGGGTTTTTCTCATTTAAAGTCTTTTTTTTTTTTTTTTTTTTGACAGGCAGAGTGGACAGTGAGAGAGAGAGACAGAGAAAAAGGTCTTTCTTTGCTGTTGGTTCACCCTCCAATGGCTGCCACGGCCAGCGCACTGTGGCCGGCACACCGCACTGATCTGAAGGCAGGAGCCAGGTGCTTCTCCTGGTCTCCCATGGGGTGCAGGGCCCAAGCACTTGGGCCATCCTCCACTGCACTCCCTGGCCACGGCAGAGAGCTGGCCTGGAAGAGGGGCAACCAGGACAGAATCTGGTGCCCCAACCGGGACTAGAACCCGGTGTGCCGGCGCCGCAAGGCGGAGGATTAGCCTATTGAGCTGCGGCGCTGGCCTGTGGCCACCACTTTTTAAAGAGGTGTGTTTGCTCTGTCAGGCCACTGGAGGGCTTTTCAGCCTTCCATTTTAACTTATAAATAAGTTAGTTTAACATTAGAGAGAAATCGGCATTGTAGTGGCTCTCCCTGGACATGCAGTCAAAAATTATTTTTGGTGTTTTAGTTTAAATGATAATTTTGTGAAAGAGGTGGTGTCTACAGACAGTTAAGATGGAGGGAGTGGTGGTCTGTGATCTTTGGAATGCCTACTTCATTGATTTCTACCATGGGCACTTGGCATTCACACTGGTAGCTCATGTGAACCACCATGGAAATCATTTGGAAACTATACTGTTGTGAAACTGGCTATTATTCTTTGGTTTGATTTTTCCTATAATTTAAATATCACTGTTGGTCGTTAAATATCATTGTTGGTCGTTTACACATTTTAGTTTTATTTTCGAATGTTTGTGTACATCTTCAACAAAGATTCTCCTTTGCTTACATTTCTGCCCTTTATTTATTCATTTATATATTTTTCCTTTTACGTATTTCTTCTTGACTGCCTTGTTACAACTAAGTCAGTCCTTTCTTTTTAAGATTTTATTTATTTATATGAGAGGCAGAGCTATAGACAGAGAGAGGCAGAGATAGAAAGAGAGGTCTTTCATAGGCTGGTTCACTCCCCAAATGGCTGCAGTGGCTGGAGCTAGGCTGCTCCAAAGCCTGGAGCCAGGAGCTTCTTCTCGGTCTCCCACCTGGGTGTATGGGCCCAAGGACTTGGCCATCCTCTACTTTCCCAGGCAATTAGCAGAGAGCTGGATCGGAAGACAAGCAACCAGGACTCAAACAGGTGCCCATATGGGATGCTGGCACAGAAGGCAGACGCTTAGCTTACTATGCCACAGTGCCAGGCCCAGTTAGTCTTTCTCAAAGTATTTATACATTGCTGTGAAAATCACTTAAGTTTTTGGCCATTCATCTTGTTTTACTTTCAAGTATTTCCCATTGTTAGATTTCTTCTGTGATGGAGCCTTCATCCTTTAGGAACTAGGTTTCTTCCTTACTAACTCCTCTAACTGAACAAAATGGTATCATTGGGGATATAACTTTAGTGTTTCCTGGAAGAGCTGCTAAACCGGCAATATTTTTGCCAGTGAATCGTCAAAAATTTCCATAACTAGGCCTTTTTATTTATTTTAATTAATGTTTTTAAGGGATCTACCTAATGGTCTCGGTCGCATCCTAACAAATCAAGTAGTGAATTCCCAAGTATTCCTTTTCGTTATTCAATGATTTACTTTTTGATGAATATTTTATTTATTATTAAATATAAAAGTGTAGAAGATTGAATTTACTGGCAGAGAGTTGCTTAATTTTTGAGTTTTAAAATTTTGGGGATATAGTTTTATAGTGAGTAATCAATGGAAAGGAAGTGTCAACTTTGCTTTAAGATTTGATAGTAGTACAGAGCATTTATCTTTCTTAGGAAAAAGTACAATCTAGTTTATAACTTTGATTCTAAGATTTAATTTAGGCAAATAGAGGAAACATAGCAGTATTATAAAAGCTATTTAATTATCATTTCCAAACATTTTCTCAAAGATACAGGATAAGCAAAATACACTAAATTAATAAATGTTAATTTCTCAAAGGTTAGATTGTAATAAAGATACCTACACAGAAATAATTTTTTTGTTTTTGTCTCAATTTTGCTCCCAGTTCCAACTGCCTGATCAGAGAACTTGGGTAAGTTTCCTGGTTATATTTTTGCCTAAAGTAATGTAGCATTAAAAAGAATCACGTTGTAAGTTGCTGTAAGACATGGAGCTCTGAGCTCTTTTCCATTAAATGATAAGGCTTCAGCAGTGCATTCCCCTGCTTTGTGAAGCTGTATAATCCTTTCAGTCATCATTGGGCCTTTAGAAAGCACCCCCCAAAAAGTGTATGCAGCCATTTTATTTGATAAATCTGACTTGTTCCATGTAATTGCACCTTGGTGTGGAATTTTCTGGACACCTGGGAGCGTGTTGTTAAAAGAACTTGGAAATAGTCACTGAGCGCAAACGTTGTCTGGGGAGGCTGTGTCAGCACATTGAAGAGGCTATTGATGAAGCCTTCTGAAGAGTAAACCTGAACTGAAGGGTAGACACAGGCTGGCATTGGAATTACTCATTCACGTGTCCCACTGCAGACAGTGGTTCTGGGTATTTGGAAAAGTAGGGCTAGTTGTTTAAAAACTCATATCTAACTAATAAGTGGATGTTTTAGCATTGGCTCTTACTTTGTCAACTGTACATCAGTAGTTACAGGTACAGTTAGTTTCAGTTACTGATAGTAGGGAATAGCTTTATTTTTTTTTAATTGGGAAAGACATTTAGGATACAAAGAATGCTACTTATTTAATTTTCACCCCCAAATAAAACATTGGTTAATGGAAATAATTTATATTCCAAAATTTCCTCTAGGCACCTACTTTTACTTCTTTTATTCACTCAAAATTATGGGAATTTCTAAGGCATGGGGAAAATCTTGAGATATATTTCTGATTTCAAAATCTACCATATAGTTATATATAAATTAATTTTAGTTGGAACATTTTAGCACTTCCTGTTTTTTCTTTATCTGATGCTAGTATTTCTTTACTAGAGATTCCACTCTTTTGTGGAATACATGACAAACTGTGAATTTTATCATTCTGATAGACTTTTAAGGATTTAGTTTATTTATTTAAAGAGTATAAAAGTATTTATTTATGGAGAGAAAGACTAAGGCAAATTTGTGCAGTAAGTATATAAATGGAGTGGTTCTTTTTTAAAAAAATAATTAATTTGAAAGGTGGGTGGTAGAGGTAAGGAGGGAGGGAGGGGGGGAGAGAGAGAGAGAGTGATTTTTCCATCTACTGATTGAATGGAAGGAGAGAGAGCAGGATCGTCCATCTACTGATTGGCCTAATACCTGAAACAACTTGGGGCTGGGCTGCACTGAAACTAGAATCTCAGAACTGAGTCTGGGTCTCCTGCGTGGGGGTAGGGATCTGCTGCCTCTCAGTCAGAAGCAGAGCTGGGACACCAATCTCGGGCACTCTGACTTGCGATTGGATGTCCCAAACTGTATCTTTTTTTTTTTTTTTTTAAGATTTTTGTTTATTTATTTAAAAGGCAGAGTTACAGAGAAGCAGAGCAGAGAGAGAGAGAGATCTTCTGTCCTCTGGTTCATTCCCCAATTGGCTGCAGCAGCCAGAGCTGTGCCCATCTGAAGCCAGGAGCCAGGAGCTAGGAGCTTCTTCTGGGTCTCCTATATGGGTGCAGGGGCCCAAGGACTTGGGCCATCTTCCACTGCTTTTCCAGGCCATAGTAGAGAGCTGGGTTGGAAGTGGAGCAGCTGGGACTTGAACCGGCGCCCTTATGGGATGCCGGCACTGCAGGTGACGGTTTTACCCACTAAGACACTGCACAGGCCCCTAAACTGTATCTTAATCTCTGTGCCCAACACCTTCCATGGGGGTGATTTTTTGATTATTCTGCTATTTGGCCTGAATTTCCAGGGTTCTTCCTCTGTCTTTCATGGCAGAGGTCTGTGCTAAGTATCATGCCTCGTGGTTTCCATCTTTTTTAGGGAACAGTGTGACTTAATAAGCAGTAGCTGTGTTGTTAGCTGCTTGAAGCTTAACATGTTTCTTGATGCAGTCATGGCCAATTAGTCTACCAACTTAGAGGGCTAAATCAAGGCTTTAAATTAGACTGTTTCCTTCTACAACAACATAGCAACTGCCATTGCAGTACTTTAGAAATAATTCCATTCCTTTGAATCACAGATTTTTCAGTAATATGATTTATATTTATATTATGAGACAATTATTAGGGGAAATATTAAACATATATTTTTATAATATTTTTGGTAAAAATCACAAATTAATTTCATACTCATGACTGCTGAATATGATGCATGAAATGAGATAAACATAAAATATGAATATTTATTTTTTCCTTAAATGACCATGATTTGGAGATTTTGCAAGATTATCAGGTGAATAAATATAGAAAACTATCAAATCTGCAAACTTTCCCATCATAAGTTATGTTTGTAGAGATAGTTATTTTCTGATAAAGCCATGGGTAAGCTAACTTGTGAGCCATGAGGTTACGTGATTCATGGTGCCTTTGGACATATCATTTCATATAATCAAGTTGTCACTTTAATAGTTTTAATGAGAAACTGTTTTATGTCATCAATTATTGGCTGTCAGATAATAAATGCTAAGCTAAGTGCTTAGGACTCCGTTGATTATATCTTGCCTGTTGAAATGTTTTTAAAAATACTAACTTTATTTAACTAGGGAGATAACTACATTTTTTGGTAGGAGCTAGGGAATTGTGTCTAAATATTAGTTTGCGTCAGTATAAAGTTAATAGCCTCTTGGGAACTGGAAGGAGGTGGAACAACTTCCTCTACCAGACATCTGGCTACAGATACAATCAATAACTATTATATATGTAAATAAAACTTACTGTTCCATAGAAAAAATTGTCCTTTACTGATCTGAGATTAGCCTATGACATTAGTGGGTCACACAGCAATACATTTCTAAAACATGTGCTCAAGCATTTCTTCCTTTATTTTCTCCATTCTCAGCAAATTTCTCATTCATTTTTGTACACATTGCCCTTTGCCTTTCAGTTGGGTTTTTCATCATTAAAAAACAGTTAACTCTTTTCCATTTATCCCAATCTGTCTTTATTTTTAAAATACCAAATCCAATTTTAAAATGAATATAAAAACTCATTACTTCTGTAAAATGTGTTACTTTTGGAGGAGCATTGTCAGACGAGATGGCAGTTGGGGCTTTGGCCTATTACTGGAGAAAGTTCATCTTAATCCAATGCCTTAATCTAAAGTACAGACTAGGGTTGATGCTGGTTACAGAATTATTAGAGGCCCCCCACTGGCAGATGTCTAAATCACCTCTGTCTGTCCTAATGGGGAAATTTATTCCAGCCTCCTTCCAACTGAGGTCAAGTGTTGTAAGAGCATGTTTTACAAAGATGAAAGGAAGGATTCAATGAAGACTTTTATGTTGCTTCAGTGGTTGCTGGCTCGGCAGAGTGGTGTGTGTGTGTGTGTGTGTGTGTGGTGCCAATAGCTACCCCGTAACTCACTTCCCATCTTCCTTTTCTGCCTTTCCCCACTCAAATTTCATCCTTTTTTCATTTGACACCAGAAGCTGAAGGCAGGGGTGGCTTATAACAGGGTAGTACTTGGGCAACCCTTATTCTTTTTCCTATTAGCTTCAAGAATGCCGCTATTTAGCCATGTAGCCCATAATATATTTTCTTGTTTCTTAATGGTTTGCCCAAATCGAAACAGTTTGAGGTAAAGTAATCACAGTGATCTTTCTTCAAAAGGAGCTAGCTATTAGCAGCTACTAAAGCAAGACACATTTCTCAGCAGCCAATTGCTTTCAAATAACTTGAAGGACTTGTAGTTTATGTGTACTGGAGATGAAAGCTGAGAATAATAATAGTCATGAGTAAGCTATTTTCCATATAAAAGGAAAAGTAGTTCTATAAGATGCATTGCAGCAGGGAACTGAGTGTGTCAGCAGGGTGGACACTTCAATGATTTAAAACCACTAGATAATGAAACTTTAGCCAAATATTAAATGTACATAAATAAAACATTTATAGTCATCACCCATGCACTTACTGTTCTTCCCAATAAATACATGCGATCATGACCCTTACCCTTGCTTGTTACTGCTAATCAGCCTGAAGACCAGAGGTCATTTTTCACTCAGACAATTCATTCCATGGTGGCTGGAATATCAAAATGATTTTCTGCAAGGAACAATTAGAAGGAATAAATGCAAATAAAATAGTGTCATACAAATTTTTCTGGATTGATTTTTAATAAACCAAATGCAAAGAAATGTGAACATGCTAATGTTCTGGCTGGAAGGGGGTAATGAGTGTATTCTGTGGAGACCAAATTTCCTCCAGCCTCTCTGAGCAGCATCATCATTCCATATCTCTGCCCTGTGATCAGTATGTGTCAAAATCCTTCATAGTGACAAATGTGCTGTCCACTTGCATCTGTGGAGAATGTTTTAGCAGCTGAGTGATTATGAATCAAACCCCTGAGCTTATAGCCCTTACTGCCTCCCAATGCGTTCACATTTGTCGTCTGACAAGTAAATGTATCTTGACTTTCCTCTGAGATTTTTTTTTTTTGCACTGTGTTTGATGAAAGACATTTGGCAAATTGGCAGTGGTACCCCGTACGTTGCAATTTGTAGCTAGCATTAGGAGTCCGAGCATGAAATGAGAGGGCAGGCACCAGGATAAAGAGAAAAGAAAGAAAGCTAACTAGAACATGAATAGTCATTTGAAGAATCAAGCACACAATATTCCCTTTGTGTGAAGAGAATCATGTCCAGGCCATTCTTTTAAGATTTTGCTCTAGTTTAAGAGGTTGATGGTGTTCTGTCCAGCTGTGTGTCCAGAGAAAATGTGTTTTGTTAATTCACCTTTTGAGCTGGAAATGTTGACTACCGTTTTTACCTCGAACTCATAAACATGTCCCCCATTCCTGCCTTGCTGTCTGATCAGCAAAAAACAGCCTCTTGGGTTTACAAGCTGCCTTGCATTTGCAGTTGTTACCATCATCTTGGTCCTTAGGTGTCTTCTGGTCTGCTACCCCAGCTCTTGGAGAGATATAGCGAATGTATATAATAGGAAAATACTTTTTCAATAGATTTTGGAGTGCTCTAGTGACATCCTGCCCTGAGAACCAAATAAATAATGAGTGAGCTGATTTACCAAGATGATCTGAGCATTTGTGTTTTTACTTTAAACTTTAGTAGGAACCTTCCAAATAAGATGTGAGCACTTAGGAAATTTAACAATTGAAGAAAAGGGGGGGGCATCCTTCTAATTGTGGACATTAAAGATAAAGCTAACTTAAAAAGTAAATGGTACTGGCCGGCGCCGTGGCTCAATAGGCTAATCCTCTGCCTTGCGGTGCCAGCATACCAGGTTCTAGTCCCAGTCGGGGCGCCGGATTCTGTCCCGCTTGCCCCTCTTCCAGGCCAGCTCTCTGCTGTGGCCAGGGAGTGCAGTGGAGGATGGCCCAAGTGCTTGGGCCCTGCACCCCATGGGAGACCAGGATAAGCACCTGGCTCCTGCCTTCGGATCAGCGCGGTGCACCGGCCGCAGTGCGCTGGCTGCGGCGGCCATTGGAGGGTGAGCCAACAGCAAAGGAAGACCTTTCTCTCTGTCTCTCTCTCTCACTATCCACTCTGCCTGTCAAAAAAAAAAAAAAAAAAAAAAAAAAAAAAAAAAAAAAAGTAAATGGTACCTTCCAATTGTTATTCCACAAAATTTGTGTGTAGGTAGAAAAACACGTGAAGACTATAAGTAAAATATGTTGGGGTTAGTGGGGAAGAATTAGGTAGGTGGGTTTTTCTTTAAGAATATTTCTCTAAGAGTAAGGTCACATGGACTTTCCTCCCTGTCCTGTCACATGCGTGCCAAGTTATGTCACAATAAAATTATATTGGCAATATCATCAATTGTCATTTTAGCTCAGTATCTGCCCAGAAAAATATTTCATCTAAATTCTTTATATATAATCCTACTTAAAATCAAGTATACCCAGACATTAATTTAATGTAATTCTAGGCAGTCTATGTTTTCCATTGTTGTTCTTGCTAAGTTATACACATTTGGCTTGCCCTGTAAGTTTGGAACACTTGACTTTCTTCTATTCTATGAGTTCTTTTCATGGGAGTCCATGGTTCTTAGGGTTTTCATTATCTAGGCAAAGCATATAGCATCTAAAATTTCTTCTAGATTGTTGATGTCCACAATGTAATACTACAGCTGTTGCTTAATTAAATATAAAATAATTTGGCTTATCTCTATTATGTATCATTGCTCAGTTATATATTAAATTATAAAATGGCCCAACCAAGTTCTTGTGGAAAAAGTTCACCTGTCCTTTGATAACCTTGCCTCTGCTTCTGTTACTCACAAATCAATCCTCTCATTGTTACTTTACTACTCGGACATTCCAATCTTTTGCTAGCACCCATTGTACTCAGCAGATTTGATGTGTCTCTGTTAATGATGTTGTTGGTTTGCCCAAGATTATGACAGAAGAAAGGATGCCAGATCCTTCACGGTCCTGTGCTTTTTATGTTCAGATGTCGGCTATTGAGAACATGGCAGAAAAGCTAGAGAGCTTCAGTGCCCTGAAGCCCGAGGCCAGCGAGCTTCTGCAGTCGGTGCCCTCCATGTTCAACTTCAGAGCACCTCCCAACGCCCTGCCAGAGAACCTCCTGCGGAAGGGAAAGGAGCGCTACACCTGCAGGTAACGGCTCCGTTCATGACGTCTGACTTTGCCCAAATCTCCCTTCTGATTTCAAAAGGCTCTGCTGTTTGTTTTGGAAATTATTCTTGATTGGATGATGAATAGCAATCATGATAGATTTCAGGTACTTCAAAGTGTTCTTTATTTAGTGAGATATAAAAACCGTGTTTTTAAAAAATTATTACTAAATGAGAGTTTTAACACAGGCCATTTGGTTGTGATAAATGAGATTGGAAATACTCCAAATACTGTCTAGTTGTCTCACTTTGATATTTATGCATTTTCCTTCACAGTTAATTATTTTCATCTAAAAGTATAATACTACTGTCCTCAAGTATACATTTATTAATTGTCACAGCATTGAAGAATAAGGCCATTCATGAAGGTTGAATAACATCCATAAGGTTGAATAAGATCCATCTCTCCCTCTCTCTCTCTTTCTATGTGTGTTTGTGTGTTTAAATAAATTGTGCTTATAGTTTCTGAATTGTCTAGAAATTTATGATATCTGACTCAGGCATATCAATTTGTCTTCCCTTTGGAAAATGTGTCATTTTCTTTCCAGAAAAGCTTTCATGGGAACATACCTTGATGGATGAAGTCTCAGAATCTTGTCTGATCTGATACCATTCAATGTATAGGGAGTTGTCATGAGGCTGACATGTAAAATGAGTTGGAACATTTGAAATCTGTTTACATCAACCCAGAATCACAAACTCTTGTCATTTTTTTATCCCCTTGTCTGGTTCGGTTTTCTTTATGTAGAGATACAGAACTAATAAAAGAAACGCACGGGGGTCATCAAAACTAAAGTCTGTTTTCATAAACTGCTTGCTTGTGTTTGAGCAAATTCAACCAGATCTCATGACACAGCTCAGATTTGTAGTTATTTATATCTGTAGAATGGCTTTGTTGCAAATTTTAAATGCCAAAGACATGCGAGTTCCATGCAACACTAATTAAATCAGGAATAGGCGTCTGGCTGCTATGCAACTCCAGTGACAGAGTCCACTGTGCTGACTTTCTCTTATAAACATCTTTTCATAACAGATACTGTGGCAAGATTTTTCCAAGGTCTGCAAACCTCACCCGGCACTTGAGAACCCACACAGGGGAGCAGCCTTACAGGTTTGACAATGATTTTTGCTTAATATCTTGATAAATATTGTCAAAGTAAAGTGAGCATGTGGGCAGTTTTAAAGAAGGCTACTTTTGTGCATGTCTGAATGTATGTTTATTCAATTTTGAGTCAAGGAGGAATTGACTAATAGCTAGGATAAAGAAGTTGGAACAGTCTTAATTTCTCAAAAAGAGGCTTTCTAACTCTTATTTTAAAAGTAATAGCACACTCTTTAGTACAGAATATGCACATTTAAATATTAGCTACCTTTAATTTTTTTTATTAGTGCTCTCTGTTGTTAAGAATGCACACTATTTTAGTTTATAAAAGTATTAACACTGCAGCCTCCCTTTTGCAAGTCTTGAATCTCTGCTAGGATTTAACAGTCCATTTACACTTTGTTTTTCTGGCATAGCCAGGTCAGTGTCCACTAGCCACAAGTCCTATTATGAAGTTTAAAGGAAAAAAAATTAGGGAGGAGGAAAATATGTGGAATTAGAGGGTAGAACAGATAGTAAATGGATATTAAAATAGAATATATTATAAGAAAAGGGGAAAATTCTGTCAATAATTTCTTGAAGTACCCCCTAAGTTACTCTGTTAAATTCAAAGTTAAACATATGGCACATGGAACATGTCTAATTAATATAATTGTTTATTTAAGAATGAAATTAAGAAACATTTCCCAGCTAGTTTTAAAATATAACCTGAATTATGTAATGTGCAATATCTTACACACAGTGCAGCTGCTAATAAGCATTTAAGAATTGATGTTATTCACCTTAAGTAACATAAATTCATTCTTTGAAATTCTTGTGCATTACTTATTTGTAAACTTATTTTTATCAGAATGTTAGCTTTTTAATTTAAATAAATAAATAAAATATCATGTTTCAAGGATTTTTTTTTTTACATGCAAGAATAAGGCCATACAAAGACCAAGGCTCATTTGGAGATAATTGAAATTTTAGGAGAAAATTATAGGGACTTATACACTCAGAAAATCATGGTGCTTTCATAAATTCTTTGTTTTCCTGTATGTTTTTTACATCACAAATCACAAGTGATATTTTTACTTTATATGTGATAGAATGTACTTGCTGTAACAGATCTCAAAGATGATAATGCGAAACCATGATTTCTCTTTTTGAGAAAATTCTGTCTGCTGAGATTTTGTTTAAATGGAAGGAAAGATTTCCACATTCATATTTTGTTATGGTCAAGGGTACTGGTGTGCAATTGTGTTATCATGCTCATTTCACACGTTCTTTGTACTTGAATTCAGTGGTTTTCCTCTGCCTCATGAATGATACAATCATTGTACATATTGAGGAAGACACTAACTAGAATTTTTTCATAGATGGGGAATCAAATTATTATTTGGTATAAGTCCTCTATTTTACAAATGTAAAAAATTCTGCTCTATAGATGCCAAATGCCTTCTATAAAATCTGATACTAATAGAGCCAGAATTAACATCTGAGCACCAGGCTCTTGCTGCAGGGGTGTTATGGCAGATTGTGATCTCAAAGACTGTGTTGACCCCTCTGTCTACACCCAGACACCATGAAGCCTGACTAATGTCCTGCTGATGACTGTGTTACAGGTTCACTTAAGAGTTTCTGAGACTGACCCTTTGATTTGAGCTGTCTCTTAACCACTTACTCATTTATATGGAATGATTGCTTATTTAGAATATTTGCCCTTCTGGCCAAGATGTTAGCTGAGGAGAAATGCAAAGTAATACCTGGTCATCGGTTAGAGCATCCTCATTTGCTAGTTTTACTCCGCTCAGAGATGATGGCGTTCGCTAGATTTGGGAAATGTCCTTGGCTTACAGAAAGTCACAAGCATGTCAGACACACATCTCTATTCCTCATGATTTATGTAAAAAATGTAAAATCGTTGGTGGGAGGGTGAGTGTTCTCTACCAGTGTCTCCTAAGTTGTTCTGGTTAAGGCAGTGCAGTGGAGTAAAGGGTGCTGTATTTCTCACTGCTCTGGGCTTAGAGAAGGCCCTGACTCCATATGCTTTTTGTTATTGTTAAGGAGATTATATGATTTCAGCTACCATCAGTGTGGGCTGTCACATTTCCTTTTATTAATATCATAAGAAAGGAACGCTGAAGAACCTCATCACCTGAACGGTTTTTTTTTAAAGGGGAAAATGAAATCACTCTTTGAGTTCCTTTATTGATACTATGCCAAAATAACCAGTTCAACAGATTTATTTTTCCCACTGAACCGACTGGACTTCTGGCATCATGTAAGGCCAGCCAAAGCAGCTCAAGTACTTGGAGTGGAATGGGGGTAATTTTTGATTTAGAGCACTTGAACCACTGAGTCTACATTCAGAAGTGTGAGGAGAAGGGCCCTTCACACATGGAAGAATGAGTTAAGAATTTTCTAGCCACTGTTAGAAATTTTCACTTAAGTGTCATTGGTGGAAAGTCAATTTTTTTTCTTTCCAAGCTACACACCCCCCCAAAAAGCAATAATGAACAAAAGATGAAATCTTTACCTTGGAATGCCAGAAGAGAATAACTCCATCGATTATAACAACTCCTCTTCCTCTTGACAACAATTGGGACAATGAGATCTTACATTTTATATTTTCATATGATGACAAATGGAAAACTTTTAAGTGATTTTTTTTTTAATCACATAGAAGGCAGAAACAATATTCCAACCAATAATGAGTGCTTTTCTGACAATCTCAGCTGATTTAGAACTGGTACAGAATCTTCAAGAAAAACAGAAGTTACAGAAGTTATAACGGAAGGAGAATTTCTTGACACTATGGTTTGCTTTTGTAACAGAGACCAATAGAGTAAAGGCTTTGGGCTTAATCACTACAGGTTATGAATATCAGTGTCTTTGATATCACACTGAAGCTCAGTTTTAAATGTCTAGAGTGTTTATTGTTATTTTGGAGAGGATAACAGAGTTTTACTTAGAAGCAGCAATAGAGAAGTGAAATCAGTTAATCAGATTCTAAAAAGTAATTGGCTGGGGCCGGCGCTGTGGCATAGCAGGTAAAGCCTCCACCTGCAATGCCAGCATCCCATATGGGCGCCCATTCAAGACCCGGCTGCTGTGCTTCTGATCCAGCTCTCTGCTGTGGCCTGGGAAAGCAGTAGAAGATGGCCCAAGTGCTTTGGCTTCTGCACCCATGTGAGAGACCTGGAGGAGGCTTCTGGCTCCTGGCTTCAGATTGGCGCAGCTCTGGCTATTTGCAGCCAGTTGGGGAGTGAACCAGCGGATAGAAGACCTCTCTCTCCCTCTTGCCTCTCCTTCTCTGTGTAACACTGACTTTCAAATAACTAAATAAATCTTTTTTTTAAGTAATTGGCTAATAGACCCTAATTTTGAACTAAAGGGTGATCATTTTACTTTATTTGAAGAAAACATGAATTTCTTACCTGCTTGTTTAGAAAAGTTCTAATTATACTGTCCTAAGCTGAAGCTAAAACAAGGTTGCTCTTTTTAACATCTTTAAGATGATGATATATAATTAGAATATTAGAGCTGTTATCTGAATTAATTTGGAGAAAATCAAGTCACCAATTTTCTCTATGATTTTTCATAAAGTATTGAAAATTATTTTAGCAATCAATGTCCATTGGAATTGAAATCTTGACTGGGTGAATAGTATTCTTCTCTGTGCCTTTTCTCTAACATGTTGTTTTATGGGTGTTAATTGTTGATAGTTAGCTTAGTAGTCTTGAGAAATATCTTCTGATTTGCTCACAGGTGTTTCCTCTGTGTTTATTTTCCAGATGCAAATACTGTGACAGATCATTTAGCATATCCTCTAACCTGCAGCGGCATGTGCGCAACATCCACAACAAGGAGAAGCCGTTTAAGTGTCACTTATGTGATAGGTGCTTTGGTCAACAAACCAATTTAGACAGACACCTAAAGAAGCATGAGAATGGAAACATGTCCGGTGGGTATCCACTGTGTCACAAGTTATTTTCTTATGTTTTATAATTGTGACTTTCTCCTTTCATTCCATTTTAACACAGATTGATCTTATTGTGAACATTGACTACAGCTTTCCCTTTAGATATCAGAATCACTGAATGACGTGCAGGTTGGTGGGCTTACTTGGGAATTTTTCTCTTGTCCTCCTGGATTCACCTAAAGGGCAATCTTAAGGAGTCAAGGAACCATGACCCAGACTCACAAGAGACATGTGAGTCAAGACTTCCTTAGCTGCAGGCCAACATTGTCCCACCTCCTGAATGTGGCCAGAATGTGGCCTTTATGCAAGACAGAATCCATAGTGGCAACCCCGGAATACTACGCTCACAATATCGACTTTAGAAACAGGCTGCTTTGGTAGAAGGCAGAAGGTCTGCAACTCGGAGAGCCTCTGCAGGGTGTCTTTCTGTTTTGCTGTTCTTTTGGAGAATTAGGGAAAGAAGACATACCCCCAGCAAATGACAGCAGTGTTTTGTTTTTGTCACACATTCTGATATCAAAGTAAGTGAAAAGTGACTCATGAAAACGAGGCTTCCCTGTCTCAGTCCTGCCAGCACATACTGCGCAGAGGCATTGCAGGTTTCTTTGTCTTTGGCACCTAAGAGTTAGATAACAAGCCGTTAACTAATATTTGCAGGTTGCTGTATGTGTGCAGAGCCAATCTGTGCAGCCACAGCTTCAAGGAAGTGAACTGAGGGTGGGGAGTGGGTATGGACTTCAGAAAAAGAGATTTTAAGAGTAGGGAAAAAGTTATATTTCTACAGACTGGTGATTTTCGTAAGGTAATTATTTTTTTACTAATCCTTCCTCCACTATAAAGGCACATTGTTTCTTGAATGATGACTACTTAAAACTAAATACTCCTTATTTTCCTTAAAACTAAAAATCTTACAATGATGCTTTCAAAATAATAGATTTTAGGCAATGATTTGATATAAAAAACAGATCACTTCTGTGTGTACCCTTAGAGCATTCTAGTAAAATTTTCTAATCAAAGATATTCTGGGGAAAATATTTTCAAGTGTAACATTTCAAGTGTAATATTTTCAAATGTAATGTGTGAAAGCTAATACTTATTTGTTGACCCAGATTATTATGTCTTTAAACTGAGGAGATTTCTTAACCTCTTGGTTTTGTCATGTGGACTACTGTGATGAAGTATAAAATTGCAGATCCTCTGTGGGCTAGATAAACAGCATGAAGCTAAGGTTGGTGGAAAGTTCAGCCACAGATACATTGTGTAAACTTAGATCAACTTTGCAATGGTCCAGTGAGCCAGGAACTCAGATTCCTCTGCGGAGGTGGGGAAGCTGGAGGTGACCCTGTGACCAGCAGACCCGATATTGTCCTCTAGACACTGTTTCCTGCCACCCTCTGGGCTGGTGTCTGCTGATTCGACCTACAGCTTAGCCTACCCAGTCAGAATGCAGAATCCTCAGCGTGTCTTTATCTGTATTTTGTAACATACAGCACCTTTATACACACACACACACACACACACACACATATTGACGGCAAGCAGAACTGAGGGTACGGTCTCCTGTGGCAGAATCTCTGTAAGACCTGTCTATATTTTACTTCACAATAGTTATTCATTGTATGAATAAAAATGTTTTCCTGCCCCAGTGAGCATAGGGAAAAGCTAGTGAGAGGAACGAAATCTCTGGGAGACTGTACCCCATTGTTTTAATGGTGCAAAATATTCCCAAGGGACTTACACAGGGACTTGCATATGGTAAATTGGGAAGATTTCAACCTCCTAAAGTTACTATTATTAATATACCAAATGGCAGATTTTAAGAAACAACATTAGGGTGGACATTTGTCTAGCAGTTAAGCTGCCAGATGGGGTGCCTGCGACTCAGATCAGAGGTGTGGGTTCAAGTCTCAGCTCTTCTGCCAACTCCAGCTTCTGTGATACTGTGCACTCTGGGAAGCAGCTGGTTATGGCTCAAGTAGTGGATTCCAGGCACCCATGTGGGATTAATTTTCTGGTTCTCAGCTTTGGTCTAGTCCAGTCTGGCCATTTTAAGTGTTTAGACATTGAATCCGTAAACGGGAACCCTCTATCTGTCTGTCTCTGTCTCTCAAATAAATAAGTGAATTGAGTTAAAAAAAAAATCAAGCAAACAACGATGATCAAATTCAGAAGAAATAAAGTTCAACATAGGTTGCCAGGTTAAATAATAATCTTTGTCACAAGGGACTTTTGTGCCCCGTTCAGGTACAGCCACATCCTCACCTCACTCTGAACTGGAAAGTACAGGGGCAATTCTGGATGATAAAGAAGATGCCTACTTCACAGAAATTCGGAATTTCATCGGGAACAGCAACCACAGCAGCCAGTCTCCCAGGAATGCAGAGGAGAGGTAAAGCTGTGATGTCTACGATGAACGCTAGCTTTGCTGTGCTTACTTATGTGATCACAAAAATAATAGCACTGATATTAATTCTTACCACCAATGGCTGATATGTACGTAGCGCATATTGTGTGTGTGATACTTTGCATTGAGATAATGACCATAATTTTATTAGTGAAGGAATGGAGGCACTAAAGGTGAAGTAACTTGCCAGATTAATGATAAATGGGATTCATCCTGGGCTGCCTGGTACCAGAACTAACTTTATCAGCATGCTGATCTGCCTGGCTTGATAGCCAGACAGAATATTTTATCCAAATTTCACAAGTATAAGGGAAGATCGTCGCTGGGATTCAGCTGAATCACTGCTCAAAAAAGGTTACTAGTATATATCAACTATTATGTATATTACAAGCAATAGATGATGACATATGACACCTTTTCTCTCTGTTTTTCTCTCCCTATTATATATATATGGGAATTCATAAAGTTCATGGAAAATGTGTATTATGAAAAAAGTATGGCTTTACATTTTTTATACCAAAACTTATTTTTAAATTATGTTTCCATCAACTTTTAAAAGTACTCTTGTATTTATATATGTATACATATGTATGTATGTATGTATGCATGCATATATTCACATGAAATTCTCATTGAAGATCATTCAAATCTTTCACCTGGAAACTCTTTGCTGAATTGAGATTCAATTGTTGCTTTATATCCTCTGCAGCAGGTGCTCATTGCTCTGTTGTGTTTCAGTGCACCACCTGATCATGGTGGTGTGGCTCTCTCTTGTCATGATCAACACAAAGCTTATGTGGCTTCATTCAAAAAGGAAAGCTTTTAGTGTTTTTGATAGTAATACTTCACACATAGCTAGCATTATACATCATAATGTGTTTAATGATGTATTATTTTACCAACACTACTAGAAATAATTTTTCTTATCTGTAAGTTATAATTATATATCTGATATTGAGAACTACACTTTTTTTGAATACAACTATCCAATGGCGTCTTGTATTGATATGTTGTGTTGCACATTTCAATTTAACATGAAATTCATTGGTGAAAGTTTCATTTATTTTTTTCTCCCTCAGGGTTACAGAAAATGCATGATAATTACTACAACACAGTTCTCATCAATTCTCATGTTAATTTGATATTAATACAAATAGAATAGATTCCATGTGGTTCATAGATACAATTCTAAGAATATAATGATACATCCCTTCCTGCTTCTCTTTCTTTCCTCTTTCTCTCCTTCCCTTCCTTTCTTTCTTTAAATTTTGAGATCACATATTTTTAACTTACATTAGTGTCAAAGGCTCAATGCTCCACTAAATGGTTTCATCACACAAGTATTATTGACTTTATATCCTCTTTTTGATGCTATAAAAATGTCTTCTGGTAAGGTGTTCCATCAAGGAAAGCTTCAAATAAATATTTTTACCAAAATAACAAAAACATAGGACCATATGTGTTCTTCAACTATCTAAGTCTATGTAAGGAAGAAAGGAGAGATAGGTCTGCCCAGCCTCTAAGAAGTCTGATTATTACACAGCAACATTGTGTAATAGGATGTGTCTTTCCCTCTCTTTACCCTTTGTATGCATATATGTGTGTCAGAGAGAGAGAGAAGAAAGCACAGATGATCAGAAGTGCAAAGTAGTAAGAACAAGGAAGAAACAGAATCATACATTGTGATAATGATATGTACATGATGCAAATAAGAAATATTGTACAAAATACACCATTTGGCTCTGAGATACCTATTCAGATTTCTTAGCTCTTAATTGGGGATTTGTAAGCCAGAAAAGCTCCAACATCTGGCTTCAACATGTCTAAACAGCACAGAAATAGGAAGGGTGAGTCATCTAACTTTTTCCCTCAACTCCTATCAGGCTACTTTTGATGAATAATTTATCCCCTATAAATTGCCACATTTGAAAGCATAATTAACAAATAGGTTTTCTTAATTATGTTGGCTTTGTTACTTTTGGTTTTCATCCACACATTCTTTTGTTCTTTTTCTTTCTCTTTCATTTTTTAAAATAACAATTTCGATCCATTCAAGCTTGCAAGTTGGCAGTGTGTCTGGAAACTAATAATTTATGTCTGCACAAAATATGTTTTCATCATTCTCTGATAAAGGAGGTTAAGAGATTGGTTATATAAAAAGTTTAGTAATGATAGGACTTTTTCTGGTCAAATGGATTTGTACTGTGTATATCTATCACATCTAAGATTGTTTTATTTAATGAATTGTGAGCCTGTGTACTGCAGGAAATTTAAATATTAAATTATGCTCTCTTTTTTTGTATGTGGGAATGTGATAGAGGTATGTTGCTAATAACTGATCTTCCATAATCTGAAAAATAGTTATATGTTTGCGAAAATCACACAAAACTGTAAAGAGAACTTCGTAGTCCTCCATAAGTGTTCTGAGTTAGTAATACGTAGAGGAGCAAGGAGAAATGCAAAGGTTATGAATGCCCAAGAAACCAGGGTACCTGGCTGCCTATGATTATTCGATCCATCACTAGATTTCTGAACCTGAAGTGAGTGATTTGACTTCTTTGGCCATCTGACTTTAAAAGGAAGAGATTAGTAAAAGATGCATTCTAGTTCGAAACAATTATAATTACTTTGTAACTGCATTTCAACTTTTAAATCTTACAGAAAAACTTAAAAATTTATGTTTATTTTAAACTCGTTCCAGGTTCATAAATGCCCTCAGATACATTATATTGGAATTCTTGTATAATTAATCTTTTATATTAAGCTCTTAAATCATGTATTATAATCTTTGCAACCATAAATAAAATAATTACAATGACTTTTAAAAATATAACTTTCTTTTGCATCATTGTATGAAACATGCTTGCTAAATGAATGTCAAAAGATGTTTGTACAATTATATTTCTGGATCCTTTCCCAACCTGGTGTTTGCTTGGGGAAAGGGGAATGTTTTTACATTCAGAATATCAAGGATGATTTGTAAACAGTACAATTAAGTGAGCCGTCAGTCACCTCAAAGTTTGGGTAGAGTGTCTAAGTGGAATACACTACAAGTGTCAGAAACAGCAAATACTGGTTCACCCTTAGCAGCTGCCCTGAGACTGAACTCTAGGGTTCATTTTGGCCATGGGTGTTGAAGCTGTAGTCAGTGGTGCCTAGGAATACAAGTTTTCTCGAAATCTATTTTAAATGGTGGATAGTTATATAGTAATTAATATATCAAGAAGGGAAAACATTTGTGTACTTTTTAAATCATGCAAAACAATATCATTTATCAGGCAAAGTCTTGATATGAAATGGAAGACTGGATTGTTTTCCAGTTCTGCCAGAGGCTCGATTGGTAATCTGAATAATCATCCAATTATTTTTTCTTCATCTTCTCATTTGTGAAATTATATGATTTCCCCAAGGTTGCCATAAAGCATTAACAATAAATATTTCCTATGACAGTGTTAAAAATTTTATGTGTTCTTAGGAAGACGTAATAAGAAATCTAACTGCATGTTTAAAAATAAAACTAATCATTGGACCTTTTTCTTTTTATGCTTTTGAAAGAATGAATGGCAGTCACTTTAAGGATGAGAAGGCTTTGGTGACCAGTCAAAATTCAGATTTACTGGATGATGAAGAGGTAGAAGATGAGGTGTTGCTAGATGAAGAGGATGAAGACAATGATATTACTGGGAAACCAGGAAAGGAAGCAGGGACAAGTAATTTGCATGAAGGAAACCCTGAAGATGACTATGAAGAAACCAGTGCCCTCGAGATGAGTTGTAAGACCTCTCCAGTGAGGTGAGAACCATGGGTCACTTGAGAAGCTAAGCAAGCGTGGAGCCCCACGCAGGTGCAATTGTTCCTGGTTTCTTTTCCTATCAGAGCACTATTCCAGGTGGTAAACAACTGATGGGGGAATAAGTCATAAAAATTAAATCTGAATTAGCAAGGCATCCTTAAGACATCTCTTTTAAATCGATTAAAATAAGGTGGCCATTAACATCCTCTGCAGGCATGTACATACACCAATGTTTGTGGGACCTGGTTAGCCTGAGGGAGGCAGAATAAGCACAAATTACCCAAGCGTGCAACCCTTTAATTTTAGATGCTAATTATAAAAGAGAAAAAATAGAGATTTCAGCACTCTTAATTCATCCAAATAACCTGGTATGATCATCAACCAGATATGATTGAGATAAATTTTACTTTACTAGGTATATATGTAATATATGCTGATGACATTTTAATGGAAAAAAACATGCAAATAGTTAACTTGGTGGGCATATATACTCAGGATATTGGTCACTGACCAAATATTGTCATAACTAGCTTTTACTTTAAATGGAAATTATAAATGTATGAATTTTATCTCCACACGGTGCTAAATTAACTCTTATCTCAAACATATGCTTGATTTTAGTAACTAAAAATTTTAAGAGAAATACACTTAAAAATATATCTGTAAACATTTTGAAGAACTCAATAACTGATGCATGCTATTTTACATTGCAAGTACAACATGGACTTTGACAGCTGTATAGATGCAAATGAAAGTGATTTGATTAGATAAGAAACCAACAGGAAAAAGAAAAAACGTCTGTGCTTTCCCATTGGTTCATTTTAGGTATAAAGAGGAAGAATATAAAACTGGACTTTCTGCTCTAGATCATATAAGGCACTTCACAGATAGCCTCAAAATGAGGAAAATGGAAGATAATCAATATGCTGAAGCTGAGCTGTCTTCTTTTAGTACTGCCCATGTGCCAGAGGAACTTAAACAGCCGTTACACAGAAAGTCCAAATCACAGGTACATACTTTCCCGCACTCCAGCATCACGGTGACATTCTGCATGAAAATGTACATTTCATTTGATTTCCAAAAAACAGATATTTTCTCTTTGCAATATGATAGAATCCAAACAGGTTCAGGTGTTATACTTAGAATGTTCATGTCTTTGTCTTTGACTGAAGCAAAATAGTTAACAAGCACCACAACTAATACGCTGTATTCTACACAGAAACTTCTGTGACAAACCCTAGCTAACAATAATCTCTCCTTTAGTGTGCAATGCCCTTACTTCTGAATAGACTATACTATTTGCTTTGAAGTATTTATATATTTCCCCTAAATTATGTTCTAGTTGCTTTGCATCTATAAATTTTGTCAACTTAATTACATTTTAAGATTTTTTGAAAATGGATTTATATGCTTGTTCTCTTAATACATCTAGTCAATTATTAAGTCATCTGCTTATAGCATTTAGGGGTAAACTGAGGATCCAAAATGAAATGAATTGTCAAAGATCTGTATCAAATTAGTGGCATATCTGGGAATAAAACTTAGCAACTTTTATTGAATGAATGAATGGTACGCAATTTCATTCTCTCAGCATTGTGGCAAATAAAAATAAATCTACTTAAGAATCCATACCTATCAATTAAAGGAGCCTCAGATATTTTATTAAAAAATAAAGGAAGTCAATACTTTCTGTTTGATGTCCATACTCAATCAGATTGCTCATTCAGTTCAATAAACTTCCTATTAACATATTTATTGGTCACATTCGTCCAATTGTTTGATTTTGATGTTGGCCTGACATAGCAAGTAATGTGACCCTATTGACTTGTACATTTGGAAATGATTTCCTGTATGGGTGAGATAGTCTCGGCTGGTCTTAACCGCAAATACAGAAATATCTCAACTAATGTGGGGGAAACATTTGGTCAGTAAAAATCAGTCAGATTTTAATTATCTTTAAGTATTCAATATAGTGAAGAGTCTAAGGTATTGTGTATGGAAATAGGCCAAATAAATACTCATTCTGAATTGAAGTAAAATCAGTTGGCATTCCCACTAGAGGCTGTTAGAGTCTAGCCCCATGAGCTCGAGAACATCTCTTCAAGATCATGGGTACCATTTCTGAATTGTAAATGGGAGTGATGGAGAAGGCATCCTTTTTTGTTCTATGATTATATGGGAATGAAAATGAATTTTTTAATTTTTAGAATTAAAATTAAACTAGCCAGGGTAGACCTCTCATTCTCACTTGGAGACATCTATTTTAGGTGACTTGTATTTTTTTAAAAAACTTGATTTCCCATTCTTCCTTCCTAGTCAATAAAAGAAACCTGGAGGACCCATTTTTCTGCTTTTAAATTTCTTTCAGTTATTCTGCCAAAATTACTTTTAATTGTAAGGTACAATACCTAAAGCATTTCAGAAACCGTCAGATGTGATAGAAAGCAAAAGGGTCTGAGAACCTGGAGGTAATGGATATGATATATTTCAGTACCAGCATTTTGACATAAAGCCCTAGCCCCCTGAGCTAACAATTGCCATCACAAGAAATACTAGCCTTTTGCAATCCTAGCTTATATTTTTCTTGTTATTGATTATATATCAGTTGGGCCATTTTGCAAACTGAATGGATTTCATGAAACTCATCACTCCTTCCTTCATTCATTGATTCATTGGTTTATCAACTGTCCATTATGTGCTGGTACTGATTCTTGTGCATGAAAATGTTTATTGTCTTGGATTGCAAAATGGAAGATATTATATATTTGCCATTTTCTATAATATAAAGATTCAGATACTTTATTTAAAACATTCATCTATTTACAGTGTCTATAGTGTTTATACTGATTGAATCTAAGATATTTGACCAATACAACAATGGCTTTATTCTACATGGAATCTTCCTTCTCTGAAAAAAACCTATCCTCCAAAAAATATCATCATGATAATAGGCACACTGAGTTAAGCATGTTGTAGTTAAGCTAGTTGTATAAGTTTGTATCTATGATTTCTCATCAATCCTTGGGAGCAAGTACTATTATTATTTTTCATATTTTATATGAGGATGGTGAAACTTAAAATGCTAAGCAACTTGCCCAAGATCACACAGCTGGGTAAATAGAGGCAAGTTGGAAGTCAGGATTAAAATTCAGGATTCTAAAATTCTTTGAATTCTTCCTTTAATCTTTCTAACTATTGGAATGAATTTTACTAAACTCTCTCAGAATATTCTATTTTTGATCTATGACAGTGGATGCATAATGAAAATAGATAATATATGTTCACTGTTCACTTAACCCTATGAAGGTACTTCAAAAAGTTCATGGAAATTGAATCAGAAGATAAGTTTATTTTGGTGCAAAACCTTTTAGAATCCTCACAGAATTTTTTCATAACACATATTTTTCCATTAACTTTTTGAAGATCCCTCTTACATTAAAGTCTACAAAGGAATCTATATTACGTATCCTAGATTCCTGAAGACCCTGCACCATGGCTGGCATGGTGCAGATGCTTAAGCAATGTTTGTTAAGTGGGTATTGAGATTTTGTACAGGTCAAGAGGGCAAATTGCATACATAAAAGTCAAATGTGTACATTTAGCGCAATGACCCAGCAAATCAAAATCAGCCTGCAAGGGCAGATTTTCTAACTGAATGCCACGGTTATGGAAGAAACCACAGACTGGCCACATGTCTCAGCATGACTCCCAAGATGAAATTCTGCCTAACAGCAGAGGCATTCTGTCTTTGTTTACAGACAGTGGAATGTCTTTGGCAGAACTTTAATGATTCCACTTCAGCAGCATTTTGACAAGCAAGTTTAGCAATGGATGAGACCAACAATAGCAAATCAACAGTGAAAAGTTCACTCACAAGTCAAGACCAAACATTTCATTTGAATATTTCACTTGGCAGGAAATGGGGATCCTCTCAGCAGTTGAGAATTTGACATGATAATAGGGAAGAGAGTGCACTTCCTCAAGAACACCTCTGTGTACCTTCTGCTTGGCAGACACAGGCGCACAAGTTGGTTAGGACATGGTTGAGTCTTGCATTTTGTTTCAAGGTCTTTGGGTGTCAGCATTTGAATATTTCTAGCATGGAAGGAAACTGGGGACAGGACACTGGGTTAAAAGTTGGCTAGAAATAAGTTTTGATTCCAGCTCCCCAACTCTCTGGTTGAGTGACTTTGGGCAGGTTGTATTTACCCTTGGTGCTATTATCAAGTGGAGGGGCCGGAGTGTTTCCTAGTCTACAGCTCCATCAAGACAAGTCTGTACCCTTTTAGTGTTTGGACTTTCACCTGTCAGCATGTAGTAATAACTTTGTTGAACTGAACAGGTGTAGTGGATGGATGGCTGGATTTCTGGTTGGACATGGGGGAGGGCTCATGTTTCTCATTGGAAGCCCTATTGACATTTCAGGTAGGGTAATTTTTGTGTTGTTCTGTAGTATGTGTCGATTTATGGTCCCTAAGCACTGAAAGACAGCAGTAATCCTATGTCATTTTAACAAGTACAACACATGCACACAAAAAATGCCTCCTTGAAAAACATCCAGGAAGGATGCTCCTACTTTGGGTCCCTTTTCTTTCCACATTCATCACCAATATTCTTTATGTTGAAAGTGATATTTTTCGAATGCCATTTACTGAGTCTCTCCTTTTTACCCCAGGCATATGCTATGATGTTGTCATTGTCCGACAAGGAGTCCCTCCATTCTACATCCCACAGTTCTTCCAATGTGTGGCACAGCATGGCAAGGGCGGCGGCAGAATCCAGTGCCATCCAGTCCATAAGCCACGTATGACGTTATCAAGGTTGACCAGAGTGGGACCAAGTCCAACAGTAGCATGGCTCTTTCATATAGGACTATTTACAAGACTGCTGAGCAGAATGCCTTATAAACCTGAAGGGTCACTCATTTAAAGTCTGGTGACCTTAAACTGAATGATTAAAAAAATAAAGAAAAAAGGAAACTATTTATTCTCGATATTTTGTTTTGCACAGCAAAGGCAGCTGCTGACTTCTGGAGGATCAATGTGACTTCATGTGATTCAATGAAAATGGAAAACTCGCTGGGCAGGAAGCGTCTTCCAGTTCACCCTGCCCTAGCGTGTGGGTGGGTGAGAGGGGCAGTGGAGATGGCAGCATTGATAGGAATGAACACTCCTTAGGAATGGAATTCTTTTTTTGTACAAGATAACCTGACATGATTGGGAACAGTTGCTTTTAATTACAGATGAATTTTTTTCTTTGTTAAAGTTTTATGTAATTTAACCCTTTGAAGATGGAAGTAGTAGACGGATGAAATGCACAGTCAATTATTATAGAAACTGATAACAGGGAGTACTTGTTCCCCTCCTTAACTTTTGCCTTCGTAAGTACATTGTTTAAAACTAGGGAAGAAAAGGGTATGTGTATATTGTAAACTATGGATGCTTATGCTCAAAGAGGTGAAGTCAGTGAAGTAACCTGTTTATCACCAGACCACTGTACCACTAATAAAATGTTTGCCAAATCCTTGTAATAACATCTTAATTTTAGACAATCATGTCACTGTTTTTTAATGTTTAATTTTTTGGTTGCGTGTATCATGTATTTATTTGTTGGCAAACTATTGTTTGTTGATTCAGATAGCACTGTTCCAGTCAGCCACTACTCTATGACGTCTGAGGCACACCCTTTCAGAATTCCCAGGACCAAGGTGACTCGACCTGTGTATGGGAGTGCCAATGGTGTTTGGCTTTTCTTAACATTCCTTTTTTGTTGTTTTGTTTTCTTTCTTAATGAACTAAATACGAATAGAGGCAACTTAGTTTTTGTAATACTGAAATTGATTCAATTGTGTAAATGATTATAATTTCTTTCATGAAAGCATGATTCTTCTAATGAAAAACTGTCCCCCATATTTTATGCTGGTCGCCTGCAAGCTTGTGCGATGTTATGTTCATGTTAATCCTATTTGTAAAATGAAGTGTTCCCGACCTTATGTTAAAAGAGAGAAGTAAATAACAGACTGTATTCAGTTTTTTTTTTTTTTTGCCCTTTATTGAGAAACCAGATTTGTTTTCTTTTTGTTTGTAATCTCATTTTGAAATAATCAGCAAGTTGAGGTACTTTCTTCAAATGCTTTGTACAATATAAACTGTTATGCCTTTCAGTGCATTACTATGGGAGGAGCAACTAAAAAATAAAGACTTACAAAAATGACTATTTTCCCCACTGTGTAGTATTTTCTCTTCTCATGCAATTTTTAGATTACTTTTGGGATCCAATCATATCAAGATACTATATCTGAGACCTTGATGCCCTAATGGATGTATGGAATCTAGAATATGTTTGTGGTGTTTTGAGATTACCTAAGTGATAGTCCTTAGCTAACAGGGAATCCTGCTAATTGTTCTGAACTTTCTCTCTGTGGTGAAAAATCAGGACTAATATGTCCTGTGTGCTAGTCCTGGTGTCATTCCATGTTCACAGCACCCATTTTAATTGGGATGGAGAACAACCTATCATTTTTCTACTGTATTTTACATCAAATATGCTAAATGGAGCTCTGCTGCACATTTTTGTGTTCAGTTATCCAAGTAGAGGAGGCAGCCTTAACTTTCCTATTATCCTTTTAAATTTTTGTCCATGTGCAAAATAGCCTTTTTTGTAGTTACAATCAGAGTGCAAACATGGTTTTGTGCATTCTTTCTTGTAGCAAAAAATATCACTGCATCGTGCTACCAAGTTCTTCAAAATAATCATATAGCAGTTGCCCCATAGTCCAAAAAGTTTGATCTCTAATTTCCTCTTTCATTTCAATTTTGCTGAAAAATCAAACTGATTTCTGCTTTTCATGAGTGTGAGCAAGAGTGTTTTAATTTGCATGCATGTAATTGTTCCTGTATATGCAGAATTGGAACGTGCAGAGTGATAGGTCCTTCATATGGTACATTCTCCAGTGGAGGAGCAATTATGAGTATTTCTTCTTGCTCCTTAAATGTAATGCCAAATAGTTTTAGAATAAAGTAATACAATTTTGCCTGACTATAGAGATTTAACAAGGCATGAAGAATAAATATGACACATGGAAATTAATCCAGACTAATTTCTTTGAACATTTTCTAAGCCACAATGTGAAATACATAGAGAATCTCCTTGCATCATTTCAAAATGTCAGTAGTCTAGGAATTAATAATATGGGATATATATTGACTTTTTTAACAGTCAGGAAGCACACTAACACTATAAATCCATAACTTAGGAAAAGAAGAATCTGGCATTTGGGAAATAAGAATAACACTGGAGTTACTGTGCACTTTTCTTTGTTTTAAAAACAGCATACTATGGAAAGCCAAGAGTGTGGCAAAAAATATCCTAGCCAAAGGATCTTTGTGAGACCTCAGTGGAAAGAAGGGACCATCAAAGAAGGATGTGCTTTTCTCTGAAGGGAGGAGAGAACTTCCACATTGCTTATGCTTGTGTCCAAATACTAATGGAGTCTGTGGTCACAAAAGGCTTCCATAGCCTTGGCAGCCCATGGCAAGAGCCTCAGATGATCACTGACATCATAAATAAGAGTGTTAATTGTTAAAAGAACAACAGAAGTCACTGTGCACTTACTCCCCATATAGGACCTCTGTCCTTAATGAGATGTACTATGAGAATTAACTACAAAACTTGTTCTCAAATTGTACTCTGTATGTTGTGTGTGTGTGTGCGTGCGTGCAAACTGTTGAAATCTGTACTTACACAGAGTTGGTCCTCTGTATATAAGATTAAGCTAAAAATGAACCATAATGAAGAAGGAGATGGCAGAGGGAATAGAGGTGGGAGGGGAGTTGGGGTGGAAGGGTAGGGATGGGGGAAAAGAACCACTCTATTCCTAAAGTTGTACTTATGAAAAATGCATTCATTAAATAAAAGCTTTAAAATAAGTAAATGAATAAATAAATACAGCATACTAATGAAGATGACAATAAAGGAAGCTGGGTGGTGGGTATACAAGACCTCTGTACTCATTCTTAGTTTTGCTTTATAGATTTAAAGCTTCTGAAATAAGTTCGAATTAAATTTTAAAATAACTGGAAAAAAGGATTGCATGTACAGATTCTGAAGCAATTCAAATACTCCCAGTGCCTCCAATTTCTTACTAGACTTGGAGCATGACAGTTCACTTGTTCGCTGCTATTCTGTACCTCCAAATTCCAAAAGGCCCTCAAGGCTTATATTGCACCTTTCTTTTTTATCCCCATGTGTTTTGCCAGCAGTCCACCACACGGTCTTGGGATGGAGATGACTTGGACTTTGAAACCAAAGGCCTGAGTTTGAGTTCTGGCTGCATTACTTTACTGGATTCAAGGTTTTGGGAATGTCTCATTCCTCCCAAAATGTCATCTTTGGAACGAGGGTAGTAGTAACTACTTCTCCTGCTGTTGCATTAGATTTCTGAGAATGTTAAGAATCAAAGTAAGTTTTTGATGATATTTTGTAACAGTTCTAGAAATTTGAAGGAATAAAATGTGTATGTGTGTGTGTGTGTATACTTTCACATATATTATTATATAGGTATACACAAGTACTGCATTAATAGAAAAATTTTATAACAAATTTAGACTATACACTAAAATAAATATGGATGTTTTATAAAAAATGTTAGAGGCCTTTTGAAAAAAATATGGAGGTTTGTAAGACAAAGAAGCTCAGCCCTTTGAAAACATGAGATGGCCAGTATAATTTTTAATTGAGTATATATATTTAATGTGCACACAATATTTTGGATGTGTATACACTGTGGAATGCCTAAATCAATCTAATCCACATATGCATACTTTGTTTTGTGTGTCATGAAAGCATTCAAGATCTACTCTCTTAGAGATGGGCATTTGGCTAGAGTTTTTTTTTTTTTAACTTTTATTTAATGAATATAAATTTCCAAAGTACAGCTTATGGATTACAATGGCTTCCCCCCCATAACGTCCCTCCCACCCGCAACCCTCCCCTTTCCCACTCCCTCTCCCCTTCCATTCACATCAAGATTCATTTTCGATTCTCTTTATATACAGAAGATCAGTTTAGTATACATTAAGAAAAGATTTCAACAGTTTTTGGCTAGAGTTTAATACACTGGTTGAGGTGTTCATGTCCCAATATCTGGCTCCAGAAACAGACTCTGGCTTCCCACTAATGCAGACCCTGGGAAGCAGCATTTTTGGCTCAAGTAATTAGGCTCCCCCCAACCCAGCAAAAGTAATTAGGCCCTGCCATCACGTGTATGAGACCTGAATTGAGTTCCTGGCTCTTGGATTCAGGCCAGCCTAGCCCCAGCCCATATAGGCTTTTTTTTTTTTTTTTTTTTGACAGGCAGAGTGGACAGTGAGAGAGAGAGACAGAGAGAAAGGTCTTCCTTTTGCCGTTGGTTCACCCTCCAATGGCCGCCGCTGCAGCCGGCGCACCGCGCTGATCCTGGCAGGAGCCAGGAGCCAGGTGCTTTTCCTGGTCTCCCATGGGGTGCAGGGCCCAAGCACCTGGGCCATCCTCCACTACACTCCCTGGCCATAGCAGAGAGCTGGCCTGGAAGAGGGGCGACCGGGACAGAATCCGGCGCCCCAACCGGGACTAGAACCCGGTGTGCCGGCGCCGCAAGGTGGAGGATTAGCCTATTGAGCCACGGCGCCGGCCCAGCATTTGAGAAACGAAACATGAATGGATCTGAGCTCTTGCTCTTTGTCCCTGTTATCAATAAATTTTTAAAAATTTAAATCTACTTACTTAGAAATTTTCAAGGATAAAATTCATTGCTACTAACTATCGTCACTGTGATGTATATAACAGATCCTTTGAACTTCATTTTTCCAGTGTAATTTTTGAGAGCACTAAAAATTTCAATAACTACTGAGGAAACACATTTGAAGAGTAGGCATATTTATAATTTTATTTTCAGATAATGACCATCCACTAATCTATTTCTGTATAGAACAAATAAAATGAGTTCATTTTTTTTCTGGTATCTTCGAATGGTATTAGATTTATTTGAATATTTCTGGCATTTTACTGTTTTTTTTAAAGCTTTTATTTAATGAATGCATTTTTCATAGGTACAACTTCAGGAATATAGTGGTTCTTTCTCCCATACCTGCCCTCCCTCCCTGGCTCCCTCTCCCATCCCCTTCTTCATTATGGTTCATTTTTAGTTTAACTTTATATACAGAGGAGTTGTTCATTTTTAAACTACTTATTCAACAATATTATGGTGGGAATGTATATACCCACTCCCTCAATTAATCATCATGATAAGCCTATAAGCAGGCAGCATTATTGTTTCAAAGATGCGGAAATGGAGATGAGAGTTCAAGAACCTTATTTAAAGTAACTCATCTGGGAACTGGCTGGCTAAGAATCCAGAGACCCATGGCTTCTTAGTTCACTTCTGGCCAAAAGTCTCGGAACTCTGGGTTCAGGCACAACTGAAGAAAAGCCAGAAAGGAATGTTCTGAACCCCAGGAAATGCGCCCCTACATGGAGTGAAGCTGTCAGAGAAGCAACTATGCCCAGGAGACATTTAGGCTTCTCGGGTTTTGGCTGTGAAGTCTGAAAGGTTGAACACCAAAGACTGGTTTGGTTTTCGGGCTTTTAAAATTCAGGTTATCTCAAGTCAGAACAGAACAAGGCATCTGGTTTGCAAATTCCTAGCAGGTGGATTGAGTTTCCTCCTTTCTTAGTATTAAAAAAGAAAGAGAGAGAGAGATTTAACCCAAACCTACATTTTGTTTATTAATATCCCATGGTTTAAGCCCCTTCTAAATTGGTTAGAAGAGAGAAAGCAAATGTGAACACAAAAGCAACTAAAGAAAAAGTACTTATTTTATTCTCTCCAAGTTTAAAGGAATTGTTAATGGAAGAGACATAGGGAGATGGGCAGGGTGGAAGGACAAACTATGGGGACTGATTGGACTCATGAGCCCTGAAGAGACTTGAAAGAGTCAGGCTCTTTTCCCCTGGAGACTTGGGCTAGCGTTACACTGTTGATCATATTTTGCTTAACCATTTGTGAATATAAGAGATTTTCCTTGGTGAAACACATATTTCTCTTAAATAAAAAAGAACATCATTATAATCATTAGCATGTAAGATGGTTACTATAAAAACAACAACAATAATAACAAATATAATTACTGGCAAGAGCATGGAGAAATTGGAAACTTTGTTTTACTGATTGATGG